GGATTTACTGTAAAGTACAGTGACTGAGTATTTGGTTGGTGAATGCAGTAGCCGTTTCGCACGCAGCAATGTCCCACAAAAAGCTCTGAAGTGAGTGAATGATTTTTATCTATGGGCCGCAACACCGGGAAAAACTCCCTTCTCTTCTCAAGTAGTGCCATGGGATTTTTAATGTCTGAACAGGCAATACAGGACTTTAGTTTAACATCTTGGCTGAAAGAAGGACATCTGACAATGCAGCACATTCCCAGCACTGCAGTGGAGTCTGAGCTCAGTCCCATTGTAGGGCTTGAACCCACAAACGTCTGAACACGTAGAGGTAACCTCATTCTAGACTATATGCGCAATTGGCTGCCGTGTTTCGCCCACAAACCATATAGTCAATTCACTTTACAGTATATTTTGTGAAGCGCTTTGAAATGTCTTGAAGATGTGATAAGGTGCTATAATCAAATGCAAGGATTATTATTATTCTCTGTGTATGAGAGTCTTTAAATGTGACCTACAGAAATCCACTGAATTGCACCATCGTGTAAGAGCGGGTATATTTCACTGAATGATTTAAAAAAGAATCTGCATAAAGCACACTTAATGAAATTGTGTAAGCTCCTACTCACTTCCTGAGAATACTTTTGCTGCCAGCATCGATACAACAATGCCAATGGCAAAATCTTTGAAATTAATAGTTCAATTTAGTTTCCTTCAGCGAGAAGACAAAACAAATACTTGGGTATCATTTATCATACTTGCCTCCTGACATGCAACATTCCTACAAACAGTTCTGAAGCTATTCAGTAATGTGAATCCTAGGTCCTGACCTTCCCTTTGCAGGTTATTGTAGATGTGTTAAGTGAGGGAGATGATTATGAAGGTATGTATAGGACTGTATGTCTGGCATGGTACCATGGCAGCTATTCATGGTGTCAGACATGCCAGCAGGAAGTTAATAATAATTAATCCTTGCATTTGATATAGCACCGCATCAAATGAGATGCCTTATCACGCTGAAACATCTCGAAACGCTTTATCAGTAAAATGCAAGTTACTATATATTTGTAGGTGAACCTTACTTAAATATAGCATTGGCCCACAAAACACACTGTCACTGCACTTAGCAGTATATTCTGTTCAGCTTCAAGGAGACCCTACTTACCTCCTCCCACACCCCCACCCGCACAGGAGGATAGTCGCTCGTTGGTCATTTGACATCTGACAAGTGCGGGTTTGAGCCCTCACTGGATGGATGGCAGATATTAGCTTGCTTTGATTTACACTGATTGCAAATAGCAATGCCCCAAAAAATACATAAACAACTGCTCTGATACCCATATAAGAGCTGGTTGACGAATGATGTAATAGAAGGTTATTGGAAGGTCTGTAACTATTGTGGACCTGAAACATATCATGCAACAGAAGTGTTTTCCAGAAGAACATCTATAAATGCAAGTTGTTGTTGTTGTATCTAACCAGTGTAAGATAGGTTATCAGGCCACAAGGAGAGTGGCAAAGTGCTACCCAGTGTTTTGAATGTCACCTTGTTGGTGAGTGTCGATAGCTGCATGTCTGGAATGGCAATCAGCCAGTACAGCTGCTCCCCACTGTCGACGGATGGTGGAAATGGTGCGGCTCAAATCAAACAGCTCGTTCTTGGACAGCCAAGGGCCAGCACAAACCTTCCTTCCGTCTGGGTCTGGTAATCCAATCAGCGGAACACAATCAAGTTTATGTTCAGGAATGTCGGCTACCACCGTCAAAAGCTGGATTCTGGAAATGTCACTGGCTCAGATCAACAGCATAAATCCCCATCTGAATCTCTTCAACTGTCCCTGACAACCAGTGTTCTCTCATCTAAGGGGGAAGCAACAAGCAGGCCTGAGGATAAGAGGCCACGAGACATTGTGGGAATAGTGGGGTGAAGCAGTCAGTGTATTTTTAATTTTAGATACACCTTGCTGCTGGTCATTATAATAATAATGATAATGCTTGCATTGATATACCGCCTTATCACGTCATTGAGGCGTCTCAAAGCTCTTCAAAGGACATACTGTAAAATGGATGTATTTTGTGGGCAGAACACGGCAGTCAGCTGTGTCCAGCCATGGAGTGAGTGACCCATTTTATTTGGGGTATTGTTGGTCAGTTCACCATGAGAAACTCCCATCTCTTTTCACACAGTGCCTTTGGATCTTAAACGTCCAGGCAGAACAGGCAGACTGGACCCTGGTTTAACATCACATCCGAAGAATGACACTTCCGACAGTGATGCAGTAGATGTCATCTTAGATTATGTGATTCCAAGACCTGACATGGGGCCTGAACTCACAATCTTCTAACTTAGAAGCAAGAGTGCTACCAACTGTGCCAGGCTAACGCATGAGATTATCTGTTTTTGAGGTTTTGCTTGCGAGAGACACAGATCCAGGTGATAATGCTGTTTGAGGGGAAAAGCAGTGAATCAGGTTTTGCCGATTGCATTCTTTGCAAACCGTTGGAACTGATGTCGAATGAAGTGCTGCTTTTTATTCTTGGACCAAGTGTAAAGGACTGATGGCTCAAAAATGTCTTTGTAATGGAAATAAAAAGTCTTGACTTGTGAAAATCTCAAATAAAAACAGAAGTGGTGGAAATGCACACAAGACCCACTGGGAAAGATTTTTTTAATCTTGCAGATGCTGATTGATCTCCTGTGGGTTCTGGTTTACATTCACATCCCTTTAATGTTGTAAATGTGGTGTCCTCACCACTGTAACTGTGCTCCAAGACAATATTCTGTGTGAAAGGCGCTCTATAATTGCAAGCTGTTGTTGCAAAGAATGGGCTTTGGCTTTGAGAAAACTAATTTCATAACCAAGTATTCACTTTGCATGTTAGTGCCAGAGCAAAAGATGAGCTTTCTCTGCAGGCTGCATGGAAGGGTTATAATAATGGACTGCTAGGCCATTACCAATTTGCAGATGAGTCATTTTAATGCTTGTACTAATAGGCTTCTTAAAGAATCCTAACACTTGGCTGACCATAAAAAAATCTTATAGAATTTCTGCTGTTCAACCAGTTTTAGTAGGCTTCTTCCACACATTTGTATCTCCAACCTTTCTCAGATGGGAAGGCTGACAAAAGATACAAACTGATTTGTGCCCAGTGAAAGGCAAAGCAGCCAAGATACATTCAATTAACATTATTTAGCAAGTGCAAACTGGTCAAAGCTGACTCCTTGCTTTTCAAAAGACTGGCTGGCACTCCCCCTCGTGGATAAACTGAAATGGCACTGCAGTATTTTCATTAAACTGATGCCACCATGTTTTCCTAGTTTCTCCAAAGTAAACAGCAAATTATTTGGTAATGTTTTTAACTACAGGTGTATAACTAGCTTGAATCCGAATAGCCATGGTTCCACTGTGTGGTATTTAAATCATGCTTCCTTTGACTCACTTTATTGGGAGATATAAAGTTGGGGCTGACTTTGTTCTGGCACAGATCGTTCCTTGATTATGATCATTAAACTTCTAAGTTTTATTGACCAGATATAAAATTAGATTTTTTTTCAGCAATTTTATTTACCATGACTACTTTATTTTTTTAAAAAAACTTCAATCCTAAAATCTAAAGCTTTGCATAACCTATATTTAGCTGGGATCCATCAGTATCAAAAAAAAGGCTAAATTGAGAAAAGACTTGTAAATGATGCCCACAGAACATTTCCCATTAGCGCTCTTGGAATAAACAGAAAATCACTCGATTGCATATTATACACTGGGTGCCAGCTCCATATTCTGACACAGATGGAGTTTTTGTGTGTTGACTTCCAACCAAGTAATCTTTCTACCTCCCCCCCACCTCCCATCCCCCTAAACTGACTATTGGAATTGGTTTTGGTTACTTTTTTTTCACCTCTCTGAGGTGGGGACCTTGCCCCATCCTCGCTATTTCCTTCTCATCTGAAGACCTGTCCCTTTGATTGCACCTGCAGCTGCCTTTCCCTTATCCCTACTATCTCCCTCCCAACTCAAAAATGAACATGTGATATTGGTCAGAATGGTGATCCAGCGACTGGAACTATATTGATGGAACAGCGTACAGAAATTTATCCTACAACCAATACCTCTTGTTATGACGTGGGCAAAAAGTTGTGGGCCAAAAAGGCATCTATACTCCAGCCTGGGCAAATCTTGCCTTGATGTGCACATATTTTTCCCTTTTGTTTTAGGGGGAAAAAGATCTGCTTCAGTCCGGTTTTGTCAGTCTTTGGTTGAACCAGCATTAACCAGGTGTTTCATATCACACTGGGAAGAACACGTCTGTTTTGAACAATATGGTTTGTATTTCCAGCTAGCCAATACTTGGGTGGTATTGGCATCAACCTTGGAAAAGCCTAGTCTAGGCTGGAATCTGCAGGTTCAGGGAGAACGTGCATTGATAGGGCTTGAGAACATCTTCAGGGAATCAAAGAGAAAATATCAAGTGTTTTAGCTTTGTCCATCACTTTCATTGCAAGTTACATAGAGAGGCACAGCAAGCAAGCAGACCATTTGGCCCAACTAGTCTGTGCCGGTGTTTTTATTCCACGCAAGCCTGCACTCTTCCTATTTCCTCCAACACCACCCCTCTATTCCCTTCTCCCTCGAGTCTTCTGAAGCTATTTGCTTAAAATATATCTTGTGCCATCCAAACAAGCGGAGTGACGGACCACAGAAATGAGATAAAGCACATTGTGTATTACTTCATAAAAGCAACTTGCTTCTTGACACATTAATTTATGTGCGAGTCTCTCGTCTGGACAGTGTAGAAAGTGGTGTTTCTATTATTGGGTAATATAACACAGCTGTTTCCCAGATTTGCTGGCCAGTACCTTCATGCAGAGCCATATGTAAATCGGGCGCTAATTACAGTGTTGACCTCTAATGGGCTTACAGGGAGGGAAATAACAGAGCATGTTATATGGTGCACATCTGCCATTTCAGGGATTTGGAAAATTTCATGCCTCTCTCTCTTTTTCTGGACAGTATGGGGATGAGCCACGACGACGACCATCCATCCTGCAAAGAGGGCTTCCATATCATGTCTGGTGAATGGGTCAAGGGAAGGAATCCTAGTGATCTGTCTTGGTCCACCTGCAGCCACGATGACCTGGAGAATTTCTTGAGGTAAAGCCTAGACACTCATGTATACAATTGTTAGCCTGTTTGTTTTTATAGTCTAGTGAGTTTTGCAGAATAAGGCATTGTCACAAGTGACTGGGACTCGCTTGCTGCGCTGGTTGTTTTATTGACTCCATTGCAATAGTAAACATGATGGGCAATATTCTCACCACAGCTCAGAAACTGAAATCCAGGCAGTACATTTCCCCCTTGCTTGGGTTCTGACCCAACTGTCCAGCACCTTGGGACGTCCTCCCGACGTGAAAGGCACTCTATAAATGAAATCTTGTTGTTGTACATTGCATCTAACCTTTGGAATAATCGCACCTACATTTCTCAATACAAGTTTGGTCCTTTAAACTAAGATGTAGTTACAGTGGACTGAGCCTTTGTAACTTGTCTCCTCACCAACATTGCCCAGACTCGGGCAGGACAGTGCTTAAGCTTTTCCCAGACATAACAGTATTTTCATCACACAGTCAGGCCCACAAATCTGATGTGACCAAATTCCTGATCAGGTCCTGATGTCCCTAGTGTGGGAATTAGCATTCCATTGGCAATTTTGTTATTTACATAGTTACGATTTACTGTCCTGCGCCAATTCTGCTGTAAGGCTTGTTGCTTCATCCATATTAATCAATGAAATTCCATTATAGAAATAAGTATACAACATCAAAGCCAAATTTATGAACAGTAATAATATTGAAACCTATCAAAATATAATTTTGAGATATTTCTCAACCTGAAAGGTACTATGTAAATGTAAATTGTCGTTGAAATATGTATGATGTGCAGAAATTATGCAAAATAATATATTTAGCTGTTTTGCATTGTACAAAACAATACTTTATGTTCTCTCCTTTTAGGTATTTCATCATAATGCATTCCAGATGAGATGTGCCTTAATGTAAAAATTTGTTTTCAACATACTTGGATGTCCTAAGTTCCCTTTACCCTATGTGAAAGCTAACATTCTTCTATCTCTGTTCTTAGTAACAATGCAGGTTTGAGTCGGAATATCATAGGTTGGTTGGGAAGAAGGCCCTTTGGCTTATTTGATCTCATCTTTCCAAAATATTTCCACCTTAATGTTTTCCCATTATAGCGTCAAGAGACATCTTAAATGAAAGCCACCTTTCATGGTAGTCCAATCCAGCTTTTGATTATCTCCTGTGCAAGAAATATTTTCCTGTGTCTGTCTTAAAATTGCATTTTTCCCTTCCTGAACATGTGATCTCTTGTCATGTTTTAATGGTATTATCTGAAAACATGGTTGTGAGTACTTTTTCTATTACATTTGCTATCCTATATACCTTTATACAAATCCCCCTGAGATGTCTCTTTTCAAGGCTGCAGAGACGAATCAGCCATCACTGATTCACTCCTAAAGTGGCCCTGTCACAGATTACACAACTTCCTTTGCCCATACGTTTGGGGCAAATCCTGTGCAAGAAATATCCTGTGCTGCAGGCAATGAGGATGTAGAAATGTAACTGCTTTGTTTGTACACATATACAGTTAAAGGTATTTTAGCTTTGCTGACTTGGTATACTGACACATTGGTTATAGTACCAGGAAAAACAACAGGCAGGCAAACAAATCAATTTTACTCTAAACTGGTATCCTCCAGGTGAACTCAGCAGTTGCACTGAACTTGTCATTTGTATTTGAATGGTACTGTTCAACCCCAGTTTATACAGCATTTTGGACAATGAATTTTCATACCAGGTGCTGGATAAACACAGCCCAACACATTGTGGAAGTGGGCAGGGAAAGTGTTGCCGCCACATTAGCACGATGAAGAATTGGGAGAGGGCCAAACTCACTGATTACTATTGGCAGTGTCAGAAACATTGGATTTGATACATTATCCAGCACAGCTTCAGAAAAGAACAGTCCATTCTTATCGACCAGATTTGCAGTTTAGGGCCTCTGAATGAAAAGAAAATTAAATAAGCATCAACATGTTGTAATTCATTCTTCAATTTGCAATAGAGATTAATTCAACCCCTGGTAAAGAACCCATATAAAAATGGAATTTTCCACTCTATAGGCCTCTCCATGAAAGGCTAGTAAATTTACCTACAAGGAGGCAATGTCCCTCTGCCTTAGTGAGATGCAAGGAGGCCACTGAAATACAAAATTAAACAATGCCCTATTGAAATGCTTGGTATCTCTGTTGCAGCAAACATTGTAAATTATTTATTTGTTGGCCACCATTGAGTTATAAACCAAATATGCTCTGCTTGTGACGAGCAGGATCGTTCTCATCATGTTTAAAAGTGGTGACTGTTTAAGACTAGAAAATTGAAGTGCATGGTTTTGATTCCATTATTCCTTCAGCATTAAAAATGAGCAGCATCTGAAGCTGCTGCTCTGTAACGCGAGATGAAATGTCAGCGGCAAGATTTGCACGATTATTTTTTTGCAATGTGACCCTACGATCAGGACTGAGAGATTGCACTTGACATTTCAACCACAGGTGATGCTTAACCTGTGGACAAAGGAACCATTATTAGCTACTACATTCTGACAACTGACTATTAAGCAAATGTGACAAAGTAAGGCTGAACAGTACTCTCGAATTCTGCAGTGGAAGGATTGCCATGCTTTCATAAATTTTGTACATACACAGAAGAATGTAGTATTACATTAGTGTTGACAGATTTGCTATTATTTCCTGATGACCATTTTGAAGTGATTTCAAAAGCTACTAGTTTGTTTTCCCCACCCACAGTAATACACTAATAATTCCACTTCTAACCCAGCCCGAGAGGTTGACATTTACCTACAATGGACAATTAGAAGGCTTATAAAGTAAGGATTCCTTTCCACGAGTAATTTGAGTTACAATTCAGTTTTAATTAATTTCAGAAGCAACTGAATACTTAAATGGGAAATGTTTCTTGCAGTCAGGTAGTCTCAAATACATTAAATGTTATTATCAATTCAAGGCTATTTTTCCCTCATTTTATTAGTGAAATGTCTTCATATTGTGAAATTTTAAAACGGGTGAATATTGGATACTGCTATATATCAAGAGCATTGTTGACAACTGGCTGATCTCTTTTGATTTTCTGCATATATATATATATATAAATGTGTACATGGTCTTCTGTATTAAGCTGTGCAGTCTCCACATAAAGCCTCTCTTCCTGTTCTTTTTCTAAGTGCTCACTGTCTGCCTGAATTGACATCATCTTCTTTCACCTCCACCACCCGAGGCTTTGGGGAATTGGTGCTGATGCAGACTCAGTCACGTCCAAGTGACTCACAAACACGCATTCTCAAGATAGTCATAATTTTGTAAGGCTCACAGAATGAATGGGAGATCAGCGAGTTTGGTTGAAAACTAGCTCAGCAATAGGAAATCATTTCCTTCTGGGTGGTCAGTGATTAGTGCAGCTTTACAGGGTTTGTTCTCAGTCCTCTGCTGTTCATAAATGATTCTGAGGCATGTCTTCTCTGACCTGCTGTTATAATATTGGAAAAATGTTTTGGCATCATGTTTTGCATCTGCTGCCTTGTCCCTTTACAGTTCTGTCTTGGCTCCTGTAATCTTTTCTATCTTACCTGATTCTGTATCAGCTTGTATTCATCCCATTTGTCGTCCTCCTCTTTGTTCTACCCTTCAGGTTTTGTCACACCTGCGGTGCTTTATCTGAGTTTCTTTTCCTACAACGTTGCACAGGTTCAATATGACCCTTTTAATGTAGGCCACAAAGTGGTGTGTGTAAGATCTTGCACTTGGGATAATAGCTCTTTGATTTGTAGAAAGATCTACCAGACTGCAATGAAATCATACGAATCCTCAGCTCAAAGTGTTCAAGTTAATAATTTTTCTCATTCATGTTTATAGGCTGAAGCCCTTCTCTGCGTAGTTTTTTTTTATTGTAGCGGGATGCTTTTATTATGATGTATACCATGTGTTTGGAGTGTTATTAAGAGCTCTGCCTGTGTTGTCATCAACAGAGCAAAGATCAGTGCCTGTCTACTGGAAACTGATCCCAGGAGTCATTATGCAATGCGGCTGCCACCCAAACTGCCAGGCATGCATTACAGTGCTGATGAACAGTGCCAGATTCTTTTCGGGACCAATGCTACTTTCTGTAAAGATATGAAGGTAATTTCAAGCTGCCGTTCTGCCTATCTAGAGGAACAAAAGATTATTTTGACCTGTGGTTGTGTCTGGATTAACGGAAACCAGGGGTGTCCAATTATATGATCATTTTTTCAGTTGTTCAGGGCTCTTATGAATTTCATTTGTATTTCAAAGAAAAAAAAAGTTTCCTTACTCCACATGTCTTTGTTTACCTAGAAATAAGTAGGAACCCGGTTGTTAGTCAATTGGCGGATCACTTTTCTGATCCGCCAATCGACTAACAACCGGGTTCCTACCTACTTCTGGGCGGAATAATTCCTACAAAAAAAATTAATCGCTTCAATCCATGGACTGTTTGTGAGACACTGTTGTGTGCATTTGGCTGCCGCATTTCGCCCACAAAATATACAGTCAATTCACTTTACAGTATATTCTGTAGCGCTTTGCAGCATTTTGAAGCCGTGATAAGGCGCTATATCAAATGCAAGGATTATTATTATTACAAAAGCATATCATGGTTAATGACACATCAATCAACTTACCTTTTCATGCAAGTAACAAAAGTAGGGAAACATGTATCAAGGATCAGATGGAGTTTTCAGTTTGTTTTAAGTACAAGGTAGAAGTATTTTTATACAAAAATTGAATCATAGTGTGATTGATGGCAGGGGAAGGAGGAAATACGGTAACAGAAGTTTGTGGTGCTATAAAAAGATCAAATGGTTGTAACCTCTTAAATTCTGAGAAATGATCCACAGGAAACGAGTCAGGGAGGCAAGTGATCGACCGGCAGTCATTTGGAAAAGCGAGTATTAGACAAGATGTGTTGGGAAGGAGAGTGGTAGAGGGGAGGTGAGCTGAAGAGTTAAGTGATGGATTAGAGAAGTGGAGAAGACAAGTGATAGGCAGGTGAGCTGGAGCGGCTAGTGAGAGGCCTCTGAAACACTGTTTAAAATGCTACCATTTAGATATGCGACGGCAACACAACTGTAAGAATTTTTCCATTTTAATGTCTGCTCGGGGAACTTCACTCACATAAATGAAAACATGAATACATGTGCTATAACATCTCTACAAAGCAAACACCATCCAAGCCATTAAGTTTCAACAAGATAAAGACTGAAAACATATGTGCAATAGTGGCAGGGGAAAAAAAAAGTCCCATAAAATAAAGTCTTTGTTCTTGTATGACTTGCTAGAAGTCCTGACCTAATTCATGTAGAGCTTTCTCTGCAAACACATGTAGCTGATTAGAAAACATGGGGAAAAAAAGTATAGAGCAAATGGAACTCATCCAGGATATCCACTAAGGGTATCTGAGGTTCTTTAAAAAATTGTAATAGTGATCAGTGAACTCATTTCCTGGACACCATCTACTCAGAAAATAGCTGGAATTGTCGTTGTTTGATCCCGATGAGGTTTGGTGACTCTGTCCGTTGAAACGTTTCTAAATTCAGGATCAGTTTTCAATTATCCACTGAACACAGCTTACATTATACCTGCTCAGTCATTTTGGATAGATGTTAAGTGGCGTGTCGGTGACATGAGCCCATTTTTGACACGCTTTGCTGCTTGTTTCAGACCTACCATGATACATTGACTTTGCTCTAGCTCAAAAAAGTCATGGGAGACATTAACCTCTCCATTAACCTCTCCATTGTCTTTCATTTAAATTTGTTCATACAGGGATTTTGTGGGAATTGTGACAACTATAAGGGAAAAAAGCACTCTGCACAAGTATTTAATGATGTTGGTACAAACTGTTCTTTTTTCATTGATGGATCATATGCCCAGTTTACCTCCTTGAGTTAAATGTGATTCCTTTGAGATTTGGTTATAAAACTAGGTATAAAACCTATCAGGCAGTTATGATTTCTCAGGTGATAATCACTGCTCAGTAACATATGCCATACAGTGCAATTGGCATTGTAATAGTCATTCATATCTGAAAGGGTGCAGCTGTTTTCCTTGTTTCCCTGTATTTTCACAGAGGGATTGACTATAGGTAAGGGATTTGGTGACCTGCTGACAGATCTCTGATAATCTGATCCAGCTAATTTCCTTCTTATTATCTCGCTCCACAGCAGTGTACCTGAGGCTGGGGTTAAACCAAGCTCCCAAGCTATGACAACACTGTCCTTCAAGGGGATGAGTCCCCTTTAAAAGACTACAACTAGTTTGCAAGGCCATCAGGAACAGCTCAGTTGTACACTCACTGTGTTTACTGGAGAATTGGGTTCCAGCTTATTTTTCATATTTCGTATGTTTACTAAACACAAAGAGCTTTACAGACTCTCCTTGGAATTAGTGTCTGCAGTACAATGCTCCAGCCAACGCCTGAGCCAACAATTCTTTGGCCACAGCTGCTGTTTCTAGCCAACGTAATTCTCTTATTAGTGTGTTTCAATTTCCTTTTTTAAATTGACACAAACATTTTTTTATCGTAGGCTTTCATTGTGATATTTTGGAAGTTGGTTGATTGGTTATTTGAGGTTGTTGTTAATGCTTGCACCTTCCTTCCCAGCATGTTTCAGACTTTGCCCTTGACTAGACAGTTGTAGAGTCACAAAGCAAAGGTAACCTGCTGCCCGTAAGCAAAAGTAGTCAAAATATTGCTAAGCACACAAGCCTGCTCTAAACTACAAAGCGAGTTTGAGACTTTTCTCAGGAACAGTGTACATCTGGAAAGGTCTGCAGCACACTTTCTACTTGATTACATGGAATAAGTGTTGTCAGTAGAAGACAATACCAGAAAGTCTGCAAAGTCACCTGAAAGCCTTATCTACAAGTACAGAACTTGGCTTGTATGGTGTAAGCAATGTGTACTTCCTATCGCGTTGATTTATTATCTACTTTTAATGCCTCATTTAATAAAGCCTTTGAACTGATTTAAGTGCCCTGATACATCAACCTTTTGAAGGGCTCGGTGGCCATCTCTTTAATAGCTTCTAGCATTTAAGCAGAGGTCAGCACTTCAATTTATTTATCAATACATTTGATTAGATCTCTCGCTTCACTGCTAGGGAATTGCAGCAATTTGTACATGAATCTTAAACTTCTCTGCACTATTCCCAGTGGAATTGAAACTACCTGGAGCACATTCTCCTTCCTGCAGGTGAGACGAGGACAATACAGTATTCGGATGTGTAAGCATTTCAGTGAATTCTGCTGTGCACTGACCTATTACCTGTTATTCAAACTGACCATGCGAGAGGTTCAGGTAAACTTGCTGTGCCTTTCCAGCATTTCTGTTTTTATTCCTGCCTTTTCTGTTGACTAATCTGATCATTAATAATAATTCTCGCATTTGATATAGCGCCTTATCACGTCTTCGAGACGTCTCAAAGTGCTTCACAGAATGTACTGTAAAGTGAATGGGCTGTGTGTTTTGTGGGCGAAGTTTATATACACACACATTAAGTTTCATACACACACAGCTTGACTTTGTGGGAAGTTTTCCTTCCATTGTGCTTGCACACAGCCATCGCCCACGTTCCTGGGAGCAGGGTGTACTTCAGGAACACAGAACTTCTTCAAAGGTACAATAGGGGGTTGGTGCTGGTTGTCATTCACATTTATTGGATTCTCTTGTGCAGGGACGGGTGGGGAAGAAGCAAACATTAAAGTACCACATTTTAGAAGTTTCTTCAGCGTAACAGAGAAACTCCAATTTCAAATTGCTTCAATCGGTTTTATTTTTTTCGGTGAGTTTTAAACCCCCAAACCGGAAAGTCTAAGCATGATAATCATTAAAGGGAACTGTAAGGCACGGACTGCTGACAGTTTTATGACATTGAGTGGATACGTACAAGGTTACCAGAACTGGTCTTATTTAATAATTTTTGCCATCTGTGAAACCATTTCCTCAGGCAATTTGGCAGGTTTGTGGAAGTCTGTATACCTCCCGAAGACATAAAACGGTTTGAAAGCATTTACCTTTGAGATTGACATTCCGGTTCCAGCTAGATCTTTTTAGGAAACCCTTTGAAGAATATTATAGTTGGGCCGTATATGAAGGCAGCTCTGATTCCAAAAGAAAAACTTTTCTATTATTTAGTTGACTGTTAGAACATTTTTTTGGTGGGGGAAGAGAATTGTTATTTTACAGATTTCCACCAACTTGCACCTTTTGAATTTCCTTCAGTTTGATGGACAGTGCAAGTGGGAGCATGTTTAACCGGATAATTTGAGGGTGGGGGCATAAAGGCTGATGGTGCACAGAGGTCGGGAGGAGCAAGACAGTGACTCAGAGGCCAAGAGCGCTACCAGCTGAGTCAGTACTGAAGGGAATTAAATTGGGTCAGTTAGGTTACATTGGAAGTATAGCAGTATCTTTTTTTCTTTGTTGCTAGCACCAAATTTTCCCTCGTCCCCGACAACCCACAAGGAGCACTTTCACCAAGAGGAGAGGGAAACCTCAATGGCACCACACACCATTAATGAGGTAGAACCGAGTTTGTAAAATCAAACAATTTACTGAGGGAAATAAAATAGTTATGAACAACAGGACGCATTTCTTTTCCAATCACCTCAGTGATTTATGTAAAGATTTTCCGATGCTCTGGTTAGACCCGCACGGGTTGATTGCTGTGCTACTTAGGTCCGACCACATATGAAAGCTTCCAGTTTGGCAACAGCTAATAAAAAAAATGTTTTTTTTTAAAAAATGTGTGGCAGGCAAGGCACTAAAAAAAAGATAAATGGTCTCTCTGAACCTCCAATGTGCAGACTCCAGTTAAACAACCAATTAATGTTAATAGCTGTGTGTTTGGTCAGAACAATCATTGACAAACTACTGTATCCTAATAGAAACTTCTGCTTCTCCCACTTCAGTAAAACCTTTAGCAGCAGTCTCTGACCCTTGCAGCAAGGAATCGGAATTTAGAACACGTTCAATATTAACCCTCCAGAAACCCACCAGCCTGCAGAAGGAGCTCCTTTTTNGTCTCCTCTCGCCAAGTCTGCAGACATTTGTGTCTTCGTGTTTCCATTTCAGAGGCCCGTAATTTCTCCCAGCCTTACCCCGACAGACGATTCTGTCTCCTAAATTTTAAGATAACTGAGTATTGTGGAACGTGTTTGAAATTCAGTCTTCATTTGGACCCTGGTTAATTTTAAGATCTGTTGAAAAAATTCCACTTGGGTGACCATTAGATTGGATTAGAGCTTGCAAGGGACCACTGCAAACAGAGTCCAATTCAATTCACACCTACTGTGTTAATACTGCAGCAAAATGAATTGAATTACTTCTGAAGCCACGTTTCTCCTTCAGGCCAAAGAGGAACTCTGGTGTCATTGGACTTTCTCAATCCCCACTTATGCTGCCCATTTCCTTGAATTATGCAATGCAAATGCAGTATTAATAACAAACTGTCTGTTCATTTTTAAACCTGTAGTATCTCTCTAAACTGCATTTGTTGGTTCAATTGCATTGTTGAGAGGTAGTATTTTCAAAGGAATCAATAACAGTGGATTTAATCTCATTGTGGTGCAAGGCAATGTTGGCGTAGTGGGGATGAAACAGTGAATCACACAACTGCTGTGTTTTAGTTTGTTTATTAAGTGCTGAGAAAACTCACTGCCCTCTTTAATAATAATATGTCCTTTCCCCCCATGTGTCTCCTCAACACTATTTTTGTTTCATGCTTCCTGTATTCAGGGAGAGAAAATAGTCTAGACACAATACTTCTATACAGTCATTGTCAAAGATGTGGCATGAACTGCGATGTAGTAACAAGGCAGATCTGCTCCTGCAGTTATAACCCGCTCAGCATACTGTTCTCAGTCTGGCTAAGTTGACAGCACTCTGAGCCAGGAGATTGTGGGTTCAAGCCCCACATCGAGATTTGGGATTCCAACGCAGTGCTGGAAATGGGCTGTATTGTTGGAGGTGTTATCCTTCTGATTAGTCTGCCTGTTAAAGTGGATGTTAAAGATTCCATAGAACTATTTGAAAAGAGAAGGGAGTTTCTCCCAGTATCCTGGCTCACAATCTCTCAGAAAAATACTGGTCATTTACTTCATGGCTATTTGTGGAACATTGCTGAACATAAAATTGGCTGCTGTATTTACTTGCAAGATACAGAGTCACAATATTTAGCAGTAAATTCTGTGAGGTATTTTGAGAAGTGTTCCCAGTGTGAAAGGTGCAATATCAAAAGGATTATTATTATTATTAGCAAGGCATTAACAAGGCAGATCGGCTCCTGCAGTTAGACCTCACCTCAGCTTTCTGCTGTTGCACAGAGCATCTTAGGTGGAAATTGTGATAAAGCCCCCTGAAGACAGGTGAGCTGAAACATTATCTGAGAACAAGGAGGGGTAGAGGCCTGAGATTCAAACTCAAAGCCCTTTGGATGAGAATTGAAAAGATCGTCAGAGCTGCAACAGTTACAATTTAGAATTTGGCCCTTTTAAAGGTATGAAATAAAATGAATGAGAGGGCTTTTTTGGTGTTGTTTTACTGGGACTATTAAAGGCACCATTCGTGGTAAATTATTTGTAGTGAACAATGGAATTTGAAACGTATAAATTACATGAAAGATTAAAAGTGCTTAAACATCTGTTTTGAATACAGCGGAGCAGCCCATAATGATTACTGAAACACTTAATATCCGTACTTGTGTTTACCACATGGCTGCACAAAGCTAGGCTATTCTTTGTTCTGATGGCTCTGTTTACCAGATTAGCTACAGGATTCTCCCAGATTGAGTTCTAGGTCTAGGAAAGAGATGCAGATAATGAAGCAGCATGTAGCTTGTCCCAGCGTAGACTGTGCCAAACTTCTGAAGTGTTAAAGTGATTCAAAGCACATACACTGTAACCTAGTTAAATAAGGGGCTTTTTTTTTCTCTAGTCGTGATTTAATGTCCCTCAAGGCAAAATGGGTATCACATGAAAATTTATATCACATTTGTATCATTAATATTATCATGTATAGCTTTGTTGGCTTTCAAAGACATCTCAGGAATGTGTGCTCAGTGAATGAGACTGTGCATGTTTGTGCACAGTTCACAAGAAAGTTGTTCACCAGGCTTTGAACAATAAACAAAGAAAACAGTTACTCTTTGCTAAATATATCAATTAATTGATTTCAGAACTTTACATTGGCGTACTCTGAGCTTGCGAACTAAACGTAAACCTCATTGGGTAAATGGAAGACTGAGGGAAGCAGGTATTTGGAATGATGGAAGCTAGGAATAAGGTTGTCAAAACATTTGTGTTGGATACTTGGTCGAGACACCCTGATAAGTTTATTTTATGTCAGAGTAACCTTTATGAGGGTTCAATATCAGTATTTGTTTGAGAGAGAGAGAGAGGATCCTGGGGGGTTACAAAGGTATCTTGAAGTTAGTGAATGGCAGAGTAAGTAATAGGTGCACGAGATGTGTACAGAACAAAGTTTTATGAACCAAATAGCTCACTCTTGTTCCATATTTTGCTTCAGTGTGTGCCATTGTGGAGGGACTTTGTTCAAATCTTATGTACAAATTTCCTGCACAAGAAGGTTGCCCAGATACTCTTCTACACCTATTTTGGATAAGAAAGGTTTACTTAGCTGGCCTTCAGTCTTCCTACTTCATAATGTGAATCTCACTGAATTAATCGGTGTTGATAGATCATCATAGCTTGAAGGAAAACTGTGAACAGAATTCAGATTTACCTTACACATAGTCAATACCGTGTAAATCATTTGAACACAGTTGTATCATGAGCGGAAAGGGAGCCAGCTATTCTGCAGTCCGTGTTCTTTTGATCCCGAGGTTTTGTTAGATAAGTGTATTTTGCCTAAATAAAGAACGTTTGGGATTACACCTCACCAGAATTCTTCTATCTTTCACCTTCCTCCACAAGAGGATGCTGTAATGCTTCTGACGATCGTGTGTGTACTGATGATGTCCAGGTGACCCTGTTTCAGAGGTTCTCCTTTCCCATCATTTACTCAGAAGATGCAGGAAGCGTTCATGCATTTGAAATGCAATCCTCAAAAGTTTCCCTCACACCATTTACAGCAGTACCCACTCACCATAAATGGTTATGATGGCAATTTGAAATCAGCTAAAATTCTGTGGGTTCAGAGCAACATAAAATGAGCATTTATTTGGCAGGCAATTTGCTATCAAATGTTATAGAAGAAAGGTTAAATAAATTTGAATGTTTGTCTGTTCCAAGCAATAACAATAATAATCTTGTCAACTATTGACAGCAGGTTCTCTGGGTAAATGCAGTATACAGTTAGGGAAGACAACCAAATAATGAAGAGCCCATTCCTTATAATATTTAGAGTGTAAATCACCCCTTCTGCGAATGATGATTACCTTATGTTTCCTCCATTTACAGTTAAACAGAAACACAATAGAGCGAAACATTTTAAGATGAATCTACATATTTTATATGTTGGGATCTGAATGAGAAGTGCAAGAATGAGCTCTGTCAGTTTCAATGATACGGTTTGTATGTGTTATCAGGAAGCAGATGCTGTTCTTAATTTGGAAATGTTCATACCTCACAAGTCCTGCTGCTCTCACAAACTTGTGTTAATCCCAAAATAATAACTAACTGCAAGATGTGAATAAGCTGCCACCTGCGCGTCTGTTCCTGTTGTGTGAGGTGCATTGAACCTGCAGTGACAATAAAGTAGGCTCCAGCTTGTAGCTGTGCAATACAATTATAAATAGGAGTTGATTAAAAATAGAAATACGTAAACCATAAAAAAAACTGGATTTTCTAACATTAACAATAAACAACATCAATTTGTACAGGGATAGCACTTCTTACAAAGGGGCTTTCACAAAGAGAAATTATTGTACAGAGGCAACGGTAAGTATATTCTACTGTAGCATTAATTACATTGACCTTCCCAAGATATCGTAATAAGCATCAATCCAACCTTAGGTATAAAAATTGAGTTTCAGTAATTACAATCTCATAAATTCTTTTGTTCAAGCTGTGAACCAAAGGATGATGCAGTGCCTCTTAATTTGAAGAGTTCTATAAATTGTTAAATTGTTAGGTTGTTAAGGAGCTCTGGTGAGAGAGAAAGCGAGGGAGTTGGAATCTCAGAGTGTGTAGGCTCAGAGCTTAGTCAAAATTGCTTGGGTTTGACACTATATATCCATGTTTATTTAATGAAAATTTGAAACAACAACAAAATTACATTTGTATAGCGCCTTTCACGTCGGGAGGACGTCCCAAGGCGCTGGACAGACAGAGTTACGGACTCGAGCTGAGGGTCGTGGTGGGGGAGAGGGGAGGGCAGGGGAAGCAGGGCGATCGAAAGCACAGCCAAAGAGGAAGGTCGTGAGGTGGGTCTTGAAGGTGGCGAGGGAAGGGGTGAAACGGAGGGACTGCGGGATGGAGTTCCAGAGGGTGGGTGCAGAATGGTGGAAGGCCCACCCGCCGATAGTGAGGCGAACAAGGCAGGGGACGTGAAGCAGGCCGGAGCCCGCTGAGCAGAGGGAGCGAACAGGGTGGTATGGGGTTAGGAGGTTGGAGAGGTAGGGGGAGCAAGACCATGGAGGACTTCGAAGGTGAAGTGAAATTAAACCCAATTTCTGTTGCATTTCTTATGATCTTAATGGGCATGAGCGGCAGATTGTTTCGTTTTATTTTTGTAGATAAGCTCTGGTTTTAGAAAAAGTTGTTTCTAAAAAAAAAAGTATGATTCTACAAACCGTTACAGGCTTAAAATAGGATTTCACCCCGAATTTTCCTTCGATTTCAGCATTTGATGTGTGCTGGCTTGTGGTGTTTAGTGGAAGGGGACACTTCGTGTAAAACTAAGCTGGATCCCCCGCTTGATGGTACAGAATGTGGCGCTGATAAGGTAAGGTTTATGCTTCGGGTCACTTTTCATTTAAAAATGATCTTTCCTGTTCAATCTGTGAGGGATCAAAGGGACTAAACACAAAACAAAACCCCACTGTTTTGGCAAAATATATAAGAAAAAGTCAAATCGTTGATAGTGTGTCATACACTGCAAATCAGCGCACACATATGCACAGCCCAGCGCGCGCGCACACACACACATGCGCTAATGGGCACGTGCTTCCAAATAAGAACCGTACGGAACCTCTGATGAGAGGAAATTGGGTTGCAGCTAATGGATCCACACCGAATTCCATCACTGACTGAAATTACAGCGAGTTTCCCAAATCATGATCGTGTTGTTAGACTGAACTCTCGTCTTGGGGTGAAATGTTTCATCTGAAAACGAGGAGAGATAACAACAACAAGAAGAACAACTTGCATTTATAGGGCGCCCTTCGCACGCCGTAGTGTCTCAGAATGCTTAGATCAAATCCCAGAGTCGTGCTCTGCCACTGTCAAGTGCTCTGCGGTGCTATCCTGCGTCACCCGAGCTACATACATCCAAGTTGTTGTTGTAGAGTCATGCTGTGTTTGCTAGAATGTACATTAGGTTCAATGATGCCTGTGCTTTATTAAAACAGACACCGAGTAGCATTTTCCAGTGAAGACTACAAAAGGCAGTGAGGGATTGAATGAAAAATTCCCTCATTCACATGTGATTTTGCTTCTCTGTTGGCGCAGCTATTCCTGCAGTTGCCTGAAGAGTTGAACCGCAACAGAGAGACATTAGACAAACACAGTGTGTGCATGCATGTGTTTGTGTATATTTATTTTTTGCATGTCTTTCGCTGTGATTAAGTGGTGCAGGACAGGGGAGTGTGTAAGCAAAACCCCAATCCCGGAGCATGTAGATGGAGATTGGAGCACTTGGAGCCAGTGGAGTATGTGCAGCAGGACATGTGGAACCGGAGCAAGGTTCAGGCAAAGAAAATGCGACAATCCTCCGTAAGTTACTGTGATCTGTTCTGTTTGTAAACAGGCTGTGATTTCTTACTGTGATACTGTAATTATGAGCTCTCCGCATTTGCCAAAGTGTACTACGGTGATCAAAGTTAAGAATATATTGTAGGAGCTCTTTGATAAATAAGGCAATTGCATGTGTTGTAAAATGAAACCTGCTTATTTCAAGCATTTATACTTCAAGCAGATCTGAACCAGTGCTTGTAGTAAAACAACTCAGGGAAACTGCAGTTATGCTGCCTACTCCAATTCACTCTGAGTCGGTGATAAGTCCAAGAGAAGTCGGATTCCGCACGTGTGCAACTAGCTAACCGGCCAAAAACCTTCGGCAAATTTTTCATACTATTAAAAAGGCCAGGAGTGTGACTGGCTCTCTAAATAGTTCCTACATCCACTGCAACCAAGCAAATCGATTTGATTTGGAAATGGTTTTGGAGCAATATTGTAAACCTAATTGCTGTCAGTTTCACTGCAGTTCTGTTGTACTTCCAGCGTTCAGTCAACATGGAAAGCACATCGAATTGACACAAACTATGTAATATAATTGGGCCAATTTTTCGCCTCCAATTTTCTCCTCTTGTCCTTTCCTGATTTGGATTGATTCCTTTTCCCTTCTAAAGTAATGATTGTATGGGTACCCAGTCCTGCTCCCAAGTAGCCATTTTCCATGTGTGATCTTTCAACAGTTATGGGAGTCAATCAATTCAACAGGGGAGGGGGGAGGAATAACATAACTGAGGCTAATCCTGGCCTCACCCAATGTCAGCAGTACATACACTTTCCAGCATGTGATCTCTAGATTGTGATCAGGAATGCTATCAGAATGTGATTAGAATCTCTGGCTGAGTTTTCCCCTCCCCAATCCAGGGTTGCTGACACTGTTTGTAGCAGCAAAATTGCTGCTTTGCCCATTGCTAAACATTTAATAAAGCGAAGTAAAGGTTCAGATGCTCGGAATGCTCTTAAAAAGCACCGAAATAACCTTCTTTAATTGCCACCGATACTTGAAATGAAATAGAAAAAACTTATTCACAAGAAGCATTGAGAAGATTCTAAGTTGGATCTCTCGTGTGCAGATTGCATTCTGAAATGTGTAATAGCTGACTTTAGATTGAAAAAGAGGGAATCAATGTAATTGTGTGATTTATGTGGCTCCATCTAATAACCGGTTTGATGGTGCTTTGTATTGACTAGCCCTGGGCCTGGAGGAAAGAGTTGCGAGAGAACCAGTGTGGAGCATATAGTCTGTGAAAACTCGCCCTGCACGAAAGGCATGTCCAGTTTCAGAGATCAACAATGCCAGTCTCAAGACAGACAAGGTCATAAGAAGAGAAAGCACTGGACAGCAGTGCTCAACGACGGTAAACAAATCTATTTTCATTGATTGAAAGTATATTGATCAATCAAATATAAGAGCCAGTCTTTCTCTATTGGTTCCATTTGCTTTAATGTGCAAGTGGCTATCTAGGTAATCCCTTGACCTTGTAAAACTATCAGATTATTCCAACATTACGTTTAATATTCTTCAAGTGGGTTGCTCCCACTTTTTCTGACAAAGTACTTTCTGTCTTGCTATTAATGCCCTTGCTCTACGTAACAAGAGACCTTGTTCTTCTTGTTACATTAACAATGGGTAGTCCCATTACAATGTTTACTCGTGCTCATAGAAGTTCACCCCAGTATAATGATGGCGCAAACAAAACCCACAAAACAAGACATTATAAAGAAATATGAAGTGGCTTGGAGAGGGAAGAGAGAAGAGCAAAACTGGAGCACATTCGCAAGGTTGAAGCTAAACATTTAGGCATTTTACGCTAGCTTTGAAGTCACTGAGTGTCCTGGAGCTTTGTTGACAGTTCCCAGTCAGCATTAAATTTTCATTACATTTACCCATTGGCATATGCCGAAAATGCAAATTCCACCTTAACTTACTTCCAGGCACTGTATGATTTCTGTTTGCACGTGTTCACTTTCTGAAGAAATCTGTCTGGCTTGAAGCTGTATTATCTGATTGCTGATTTATGGGTTTGTCCTGTTATATTCTGGGGGTGGCAGTAATTTAACAGCCTGTAAGGTGTAACATGTCTTGTGCTGATTCCAACTTATCCCAATGAAGAGTGCTATCAAAATCACACAGCACTTTTTGTAAACAAAGACCATCTGCAGAATGTATGAACATTTCAGATTAATGTTCCCCTTTGAATCTTGCACTGGTTTGATTTTATTTTGGATTCCATCCATATGGCCTGAAGTTAAACTTTTTGTTAGGCTCTTGCAATGATGCTTTATGTCAAAGAAGTAACTTTGCTGCACGTGCTAAACCAGCCAGGAATAATACTAATGATTATTGAGAAAAATACTATCAGTACCACGTGGAATAACACAAGCCTGCTGCACCTGGACAATATAGCTGTAAGCGGTAACGTGTACATTCTCGGGACTTGGAGGGAACTAAAGACAGACGAGTTTCACAGTGAGTGTAGACACCCACCAATATCACAAGAGATGATTTATTGAAATTGTTGCAGAAACACGAAGGAGATGTGGCTCAAGGCACTGACATACTTTCAGGATTCTGAAGAAAATTGGAGGTGATTGTACCCTGTCGGATATTTTTGAGAGTTCACTCGTCTAGGGAGAGGGGGGAATCCCACCTTTGGGAACACGCAAATGTGCCTCCTATCTTTAAGAAAAAGGGGCTAGGGATGAGCCATCCAACGACAGTCCAATAATTCCCACATTGATTGTCTAAAATGACGATGAGTGAACATACAAGGGATCATCTTGAATGGGACGTGTTGGTGCGTTAGCAGGTCTCTTGAAGGCAGAGGTGATCACAACAAAGTTATTGTATTTCTTTAAGGAAGATACAGGCCTAGTGGTTAGGGAAGGGATAGTGGATGTTATTTATCTGGATTTGAAAAGACACATAAAACTGTTCCATATGATAGATGCTGCATAAGGACCAGGGCGATATGAACTGCTCATTAATTCTGCAGATGACCTTTATTTGCAAACTGCTGTCTGATCCTGGTATTGACCTTCATTTGGATACACTTGAATCAACGCAAAGCTAAGGGACAACAGGTTGTACGTTACAAACTGCAAAATTGCTGCTAACAATGCCCTCAGAGTATAACATGCCCAGTTCTGACGAAGGGTCGTGAATCCAAAATGTTGACTCACTTTCCTTTCTCCATAGATATTGCTTGACCTGCTGAGCGTTCCCAGCGACTTCTGTTTTTGTTTCTGTTTTCCCTCTGAGTATAAGTTGTGACCTGGATTGGTTGTAATATTTGTACATGCAATTGACTCTCTAATAACTTGTTAATGATCCTTTAATTGACTCTGTAAGGTGTAACATGTCTTGTGCTGATTCCAACTTATCCCAATAAAGAGTGCTATCAAAATCATGCAGCACGAGAATAAAGTTCTCGTGTTGCCTGTTGAACAACCCGAAATTTTCAATGATCCCGTGGCTAAACGAGCTCAGTACAATCCACATCTGCCCTCTGCGAAAAGCAGCCAATTTAATGGCAAAGGCGCAGCGTAGGTGTGGACGCAGCATTGAATTTCAAAAACATTAATCAGGTTTTGGTGCTGAATGTTTTCCTGTTTCCGCAGAGCTGAAACCGTGCCCTTGGCACCTTTCTGCAACAAATTGGCAACAGTTTGCATTTGCGCTGCATGTTATCAGAACGACTTTGGAAACGATTACTGCTGTGTATCTCCATATGGTCTGTCACTAATTATTTACAGTTATTGTTCATTTGTATTTAGTTTCACTACAAGCAGTGAACACGGTCTCACATTTTGTCTTTCATGCGCCCCCCATCACCTTTGCTGAATAGCCCACAACTTCACGCACATTGTAACTCACATGTGATCGTGAGGGGAGGTATATGATAGTGCCTGATGCGTGTGGAACTCAATCCAAGTGGAAGGAAAAGAAGTCGAACTCATTGAGGAGAGGAGGAAATTGGCAAAGAGAGATCGGAAAAAATGCATCTCCATATGATGGCATTTTTGGCCATTACATGTAATACAAAACAGTTTACTGGGTCATACATTTCATGGCAAACCACATTAATTTTCTAGCTACTAAGCTGTCTGAAACCATGTCTTAGGAGCCAACAAAAATTCTTTCACCATTAACCACAGAATTGGATGTCAGATTTGTTTCGTAGTGGTGCCGGTCTCTGAATGTGTTTACATGAATAGCTTATTTTCCAGCACCAAGCTTTTCCAAGTGTCAAAACCGTTTCACCCACAGCTGCTGCCCATGCAGAGAATGCTTGTGGAGAGGCTGGACAGAGTTATGAACTCGGTTGTAACAGGAACTACATAGAACAGTTGTGGGACAAAAAATAATCCGGGATAAACCAGGCTGGCCTGAAGGACATCTTCTGTTTGTTTAACTACTCCCACCTTCCTTGTGTTTATGTTCAGATGATCTGAGCAATTTCAATATTCCAATTTTCAAAGTCCTCAAGTATACTTTACTTGGACCGAGGATTTGAGATTTTCGTTTTTTCCTTTTCAATTTAGTGAAAATATGAGGTTGCTTGTTTGCTTTTCTCTTTTGAAGGCATCCGCTGCACAAAGCACGAGCCAAGCCATTGAGTTCACTATTGAGCGAGAACGGTATTCCTTGCAGAACAAGAAAAATTGGGCAGACGTGGACAACAGAGAAGAATTTCCACAAATTACCCGGCAGACTCCATTCGTGGTCCAGGCTGATTCATGAAGCTTTTTGGTGGGCCTGAATTGGAATCTAGGATGTCGGATTTAGGCCGTTCTATACTGCTTTACAGGATAATGTCCTAACTAAATCGACAGTCAGTAAGGTGACAAATGTGCTGAATAAGTCTATAACATCTGACAGTTAGTTACATCGAGTGATACAGCATAGAAATAGGCTATTTGGCTCAACTAGTCCATGCCAGTGCTTATAATCCACATGAGCTCTCACTCTCCTGTACCCCTCTGTTATACCCCTCTATTCCATTCTCCACTATGTCTGTTCCCGTTTCTAAAACAGCAACCTAACGACTGGGAAACCAAGATTTATAGGCTTGCGTTATTTTTATCTGCTACCATTATTGAGAGGTCAGAGGAGGCGAAGAATTTCAAAGCGTATTTACTGTAAATTTTGTCCCCATTGTAATTTATTTATTCTCCCAGTTGCACTTTTCTCTTTGTTTGTATATCCAGGAAGCACTTATCCTCATAGCGTGCCTGTGCTAATCAGAGCAGCCTGTTTCTGTTTCAGACAAGCCGTGTGCCTTGTTTTGCTCTGCTTTTGGAAAAGAATCCACAATCCTGGTAACTCAACGAGTCCTTGATGGAACTCCTTGTGGACCCTATGAGACTGACCTGTGTGTGAATGGTAAATGCCAGGTGAGTGTCACATCCAAAGAATGTTTTGCTGGCAGTTGTTAACAGCACCCATGTTACTCTTTGGCTTTGGAAAGTTGAGTACCATATCTTATTGTTTTGTTGCCCATGATACTGGCTGATCCATCTGATGTCAACACAGAGAAGGCATCTTGGAATAAAGTTTGTTATTGGTCTAAATTATAGCTGCAGCCGAACCTTGTTCCATTGTGGTGTGTGTCCATACCTGTGACAACTCATAACAGAGCATGCTAAAAATGGCTGCCAGTCAGCACTTCCAGGTCTTCAAATCACCCCTGACTTCACACTCAGGAATAACCTTTAAGATATGGGATGTCAGGAACATCCTTCAAAATGTGGGATGTCCTCCCGACGTGAAAATCGCTATACAAATGTAATTTTTTTTTTTGTTGTTTAATTAAGGCCTCACTTCTTCACGTACAGTGTAGGTTTCGTATATAACCAGTGTTGTTTTGCAGAAGAGGTGAGCTATACCATATGAAATCCTTTAATACGCTGATTGTATGATGAGCAAGTCACCTTCTGTCATCTAAATTGCGTGATATGGTTCTGGGATGGAAACAATCTGTTGTGAATAGTGAGAGGGCATTTTTCTTTTACGGTGTTAATACAGACACATGTTCTATATCTCCTGCCAGCTGTCTAAGAAAAGCAGAGTTAAATGCTTCAGTGGAACAACTTACTCTCTTACTGAAACCATTTGATGGAATATTGATATTTACAGGATGTTTCTGGAACAGGTGTAAATAGAGCTGCCACCTGTACCGTACTGCTCAAAGAAATAACCTTGAGATAAAAGATCTGAGATAAAAAGTTTGGACTTCAGTAATATAATAATAATGCACCTTCCCTTCTGCAAATGCAGCACTACATTTACTTGCTTTAAGTTACAAATGGTGTTTCTTACTTATTTAGCTGATTAAGAGCAGCACTTTATTTACCAAGGAAGCTCCTGTTGTGGCGGTGAGTGCTGCTGCTGGGAATGGTGTGGGTTGAAGCTTATTTCATTAAAACCCCGACAGCAGAAGCAGAAAGCTTCCCTGTGACAGAATAAGGGTTTGTTCAGTCTCTGGGAAAGGTTCACCTTTCCTTCGTGTGGGTGGATGTTATTGCCTGACCAAGGAGATCGAAAAAGATCTGAATTAAGTTTGTTTGACATTTTATACAAATGGACAATTGTGGGTAATTTTACCCTGTGGAGCCATGTCCACCTGGGAGCTGAGCTAAGAACGTACAAGCCCACCTAATATAGTTATAGTTGGTGCAAGGGAGGGAGAGATGTCTTTCATTCCCTGTCTTTCTGGATTCAAATCCTGGTCTCAGGGAGGATGCTGTATGAAACTGTATGTACATGAGCCTCTTTCCCCACCACCACCCTCATTATTCACTGTTAATGAAGACAAAACTGACAGATTCTGTTCCACTGAATATCTGCACAGGTAGTGTGCAGTCTTGTCAAGTTAAGTGTTGTTGAATGCTTCACTGGTGCAGTTACCTTTAATTCTGTGTAGATACGGAAGTTCCACCCATGGTTCTAAGCAGGGAGATCACTCATCCTGAGTTAGCATTTAAGGATGCAAGAATGTAGAGAGCAGAGTTTATCTGGAGATTGCAGGGAAAGATGCAGATGGATCAGACGTGCACTGAATAGCAAGGCCAATGGTGGCTGAACAAGAAAATCTGAAGGACAATAAGCATCAAAGAATTATGTAGCACTCTACAGTACAGAAACAGGGCAATTGGCTCTTTGTTTTTACCCCTACACGAGCCCTCCTATTCCCTCCTCCTAATCCTTCCCCCCTATTCCCCTCTCAAATAGGATACTTTCCAATTCAACCACATATTCCAGCAGTGAGTTCTACGTTCTTACCACCGCTGTGTAAAGAATTTCTTCCTAAACTCCAGTTTCGATCTGGCTGGCTCGCAAACTGGTGTCCAGTTCATCCACGTGTTTTAAAAGTAAATGTGGCACTGGTTTAATGCTGCTTTGTATATCATAACAACATGCAAAAATGTGCATAATTTATGGGTGTGGAGAGAGAAGAATAAATGGCTTTACCTATAGCTATCTGATCACATTGAGCATTACAGACTAATAGATTATCTATTTAATTTGTCTTTTTACCTTTCTTCAGCAAGTAACAAGTGTGAAACGTCCTCGTTAACCCCTTGCCTTACCCCACTGCTCATATATAGATTACTGCACTCCATTGTGCACCAGCTCTGTGGCCCTATGTGAGTGAAAGTGAAAGAGATTAAGTTATTACAATATCTATGTGTCTCAGTGCAGGCCCGTTCTTGACTCAGGTTAAGTATGTGATTGATTGTTGTGCAGTACTTGGTCGGATCAAGTGCTTAATCTTGTTTCTTCGAAGCAGACTAGTTATTCCCAAGATGTGCTTGGAGTACCTTATGTCTCTTGTAAAGAGGATGCGGCAGTCTTTTTTTAAATTTAAGATCACTGTTTTAGGACAGAATGCCAGGCTCAGTGGATGCATCCCTCTGTTTCAATTCCCAATAATTTTCACCCATTTTACTTTGAGCTGTACTCAGTTTTTTATGATTTGTAGCGAATGGCATATTACATCCTTATTTTATTAAAGTACCTGTGCAATATTGACCTTTTGTCTGCTCTCTAATATAAAAAGTAAATCTCATTCCATGAGATAAGTGGGTGAATACTATGAGAAAGCAACCTAATACTCTGTACTGCTCTGTCCCAGTGGAGCTTTAGCTGTAGCTGGATGATAATGGATTTTTGCCTCCAAACATTATGTGTGGTGTAGAATTGATTCAGCTCAAATTAGTTTAGTCTGGGAAGATTTAGAAAACGTTTATCATGAGCGCTGTAAAGTAGGTGCCATCTCTGCTGGCCCCACAGCTAATGTTTGCAGAGCTAAGGCTCCCCGTCCCTGTAAAGTGTTGTCTTTTTTTGGGTGGGTGGGTGGGTCGGGGAGGAGGCTTGTCAATCGTTTGGATGTTATTCCTAGGCAGCCAGGATTGCAACAACAAAGAGAATGCTACAAGTGCCCTATAATATAATATATAATAATAATACTTGCTTTTGATACAGTGCCTTATCATGTCTTCGAGACGTCTCAAAGTGCTTCACAAAATATACTGTAAAGTGAATTGACTATATATTTTGTGGCAGAGAAATATTTGTAAGATGCATTTTATCCTTGTTTCTCAATGATGGAATATATTCAGAAATATCGCAGTTTTAACCCACATTATCCTATTCCATGATACACCCACCCGAGTGGTGTATTCAAGCTGCTTTCTCCAGATACACGGTTAAAAGGGTGGGCAAGTTCTCTAACTGTACTGTTGGGAGTTATTTCCTGTTCAAGAGCCTACAATACTAAAATGTAACAGATCCATCGCTACACTCTACTGCAGCGCCTGTGGAAAAGACACCTGCAATATGGCTGTGGATAACTTTAATACAATAGTAAAATATACGCCAAATTGCATTTTAATGTAAGAAAGCAAAAATAAATGCTTAACAGAGAATTAGGGTATCAGAGCAAAGGGGTCAGGGTCCACCCATAGATGTCGTTGTCCAACCTGAGGTCATGTGATCAGACTATTTTCCACAAGCCTTAAACAGGACTGGGCCACGGCAGAAGGTGAAGGGATGGCTGGTATGTGTATAAGGTTCTAATTACCAACTACAGTCCTAACTGATTTTCAGTCTCACTGTTTGGAGTTGGTGCCAGCTCCTTGGGACAGCCTCACAACATGAAAGGCGCTATATAAATGTAATTTGTTGTTGTTAGTCTCATAAACTGATCACTTGAACAGGATGAACAATGGTGAGAGCCAATTATTTTGCTTTTATTTGGAGGGGAAAGTGATTGTGCTGCTAATTGTGTAGCAAGCGAGCAAAGACAGAAACAGCTAAAATTGCGAACACTGGCAAGTTTCCCGCTTCTTGTCTGGCAAGGACCACCCTATCTGTTAGGGCTTTGGCTTGCAGGGTTAACAGGAGCTGAGTAGGAAGACTCCCAATCTCCAGTGACTGATCTGTTCCTCCAGGCCTTGCTAAGGAGCCAGGCTTGGTCTGTCATCATTAGTCCTTGGAGAACTGAGTGATGGTGAGGACTAGCTCATTAGGAAAAACATTTAATTTTATAATGTTTCCATTGAGTTACGTGATGGATTGGATTATCCTGCCTACACAGCCTGTATATTGGTTTATTTTACAGCAGCATCATTGTGTGCGTCTGATACTTTAGATGATTTTCACCCACTAAAGTCCATTCAAGAAGAAATTTCGCCGTTTTTTTAACGAACCAGCAAGCCACTTATTTTAGCCCATTATAAAATCAATAAGTTAGTCTGAAAAGCATTCAAGTCGTTCTAGTTAGTACTTTGCAAAAGGAAAATCATTCTTACAAATTGTGCTTGCTTCATGATATTCTGTTGAGCTAAGAATTAATGTCAGTGGGAGAGTGAAGCAATGTTATTCTTGGGCTAAGGGACCACCACAATATTCGGCTTTCTTTTTTTTCCTGCTTTGTGAGTGAAGCAAATCGAAGAGGCTGTTTGTAGTGAATTCTGGCCAATAATGGAGACACCTGTTTATTATTAACAGAAAATTGGCTGTGATGGAATCATTGGCTCAGTGGCTAAAGAAGATCGCTGTGGGGTGTGCAGTGGTGACGGCAAATCCTGCAAGATAATAAAAGGAGATTTCAACCAAACCAAAGGAATGGGTAAGGACAAACAAAGAGAAGACCCATGTGGTTGACCTTTCCTATTGTGTCTGCGAATTTAGCTTGAAGTTGCTATGTCGTGAGCCCCATGAGGTGCAATGCATTTGGATAAACATTATTTGGCTGGGATCGAATGGGAATGTGCTGCAGGCTGCTTGGAAAAGGTTTCTTTGGCAAACCACAAAGCTAACAATTGTGTTGTTTTTAATGAAAACAAAACTACATATTTTGCTACAATGGTAATTACTACTGTACAGCCTTAACCCTTTGAATCCTGCATTTGGATTTCTGTACGTTCTTTTAAAGAATGACCTGAGAAATGTCATAATAATTCAGCTAAATAGTCATCCCTTTGTAATCTAATTTTCCCTTTAAATTGAAGCCTTTCTCTTTCGCAAGCAATTTAATTTAGCTGCATTCCCAATTGGAATTTTTTGCATGAAATTAGATGAATTTGATAGATTAACTTTTGTCTTTATTATAAGACAATGGGATTTTTTGTTTCCATTTTTTATCAACCTCTGAATTATAAAATGGTTCTGATAACTAAGATAATTTAGGGCTGTGTTCTGTAAAGTTTAAGACCGATTGAGCGCTCGGTGGTTAAACCTGATCATGTCAGTTTGCTTTTGGAGTATCTGAGTAAATAATTGCTCTGACTTGGACAACATCATGCCAGAAATTTACTCAAATAATGCTAAACCCAAGCTTTCAGTGCTGCCAACTAAATAGCATTCCCAGTGTTCCCATTTGTAAAAATTGGCAATTTCTCAGATACACGCTGGTTGTAAATTGTTTACAGCTGAAATAGCTGGAAGATTGCAACACCAACAGTATACGTAAATTTAGATGTCAATGGGTGAAAAGCATCAGTTGACAACAGGATTCACCCATTCTGCCTGTAACGGGAGCACTCCTCCAAAGCCCGGGTGGTGGGTTCAAACTTCACATCAGGACTTAGAATCCACATGTCTATTCTAATATAATGCTGGGGGAGCACTGTATTGTTCAGAATTGCCATTATTTGGATCAGACGATAAACCCAGATTCCGTCTACCTGTTCAGGTGGACATTTGCAATCCTATTGCACATTCAAAAAGAGAAGGGAGTTTCTCCCAGTGTCTGGGACAACAATCTCCCAGATAAAACTGGTTGTTTGTTGGACTTTTCTATATCACATGTTCAGATTATTATTAAGTATTAATTATTATGTAATAATAGTATCCCTCCAGCTCGGCATCAAACTCCGGCACTGTTAATCACTCCAAGACCCTGCCTTGCGTGAAGGGTGCTATATAAATGCACATTGTTGTTATAAGTAGGTCACAGGGTTCCCACGAGTTGATAGTGATCTACTGTTGATTACTGGCAGATTTTCACATTAGCAAATCTGAGCCACTAATAATAATAATCATTAATAATAATAATGATGATAATTCTTGCATTTGACATTGTGTCTTATCACATTGGAATGTCTCAAAATGCTTTATACGATTTGTTGTTAAGTGCACTGTTCGCATATTTGTAGATGACCCCAGGAGCCAATTTACATGCAGCAATGTCCCACAAAAGCTGAGAGGTAAATGATCTATTTAGCTATTATTAAACCAATTGTGAACTATAGCTTTTCGGCCCCACAGCTGGTTAATATTAGATCCATATCTGCAGAAATATCTGATTGAACATTAGTTGACTTCTAACATTGACTGATATCCAGTAAGTTTATGTTAAAATGAATACTTTAAGCAGAAAAATGTAAGATCCCGGTAGTCATTTTTAGACAGTGTTTAAACATTATGAAAAGATAATATCATTAATTCAGCAGCATTTTTTCTATAGGACAGTAATTGCAGGGAAAGACAGAGCCAAGGTTGTGGAGGCAGAACAGGAGCAGGAATATAAATGTAGCTTACGTGTCAAGAATGTGAATTCATATTTTTAATGAATAATCCATACTTGCAGGGCTTGGTGATTTGTAACTGTCTGCTAGTTTAACTAAATTAGAAAAGTAACACTAAGTAGTTTTACTGAAGCTACCAATAGAAGACACATTAGAGCGAATTGTCACTTTTGTCTACCAATAGTTGTGTTATTAATACACTGCACTGCGGATTGCAGTTGATTTGAATGATCACTTTACCACAAAACGTTTGTATTGTAAAATAGCTGTCTAAGTAAATGTTAGTCAAAACACCAATTATAATTTCTCAAAGTGTGTTCTATTTTGCCTGAAAAAAAATCAAAACATTTTGCTCAATAGTTGCTTGAGGGAAGCAGCGTTGAGTTTACTTAGACAAAATTTAGATACTTTAGCTTTGAACAAACATAGAACCATTGAAAATTTATGGCACAGAAGAAGGCTAATTGTATCTGTACCAGATACAGCTCCCCCAAGAGCAACCGTTTCCGTCACAATTACCTGTCCTTTCTTTTTAAGGTATCTTTCTTAAGATATCTAGTCGCCTTTCGAAGGCCAGTTTGGATTTTGCCATATATGGACAGTTACTCACTCACCGAACAGTGGAAATAATTTCTCCCTATTGACTCTTATCAAAACCCCTGATAATTTTAAAGACCTCTATCAGGTCACCCCTCAACCCTCTTTGTTCCAGCGGAAAACTTCCCAGTTCCTCCAGTCACTGCTCATAGCCCTTTGGATTAAAATGGTAATGTATGACAATGGTTTGCAGCTACCAGTCAAAGGTAAATCTGTACAGGAGAGCGGGGGTGATCAAGAGTCGTCAAGGGGAGTGTGGGGAGAAAATAAAAACGTACAAAAGTAATTAGTAGCAACCCTAATTCAGGCTGAGTGGGTGGCTGGCTGATTTTAAATGAGTGAAATTGACTTGAAATTGGAAAGTACATCATTGAGAGAAGAGTCTTGTAATTTTAATGGAGAGTCACTATCATCCTGTAATTTATGATGTTTGGCAATGTCAGCTCGGCAGAGTAAGAACATCAGTATTGCTGTAGAAATTCATTAACATTCAAATCACAGGTGTTATTGGTTGATGAGTTTTGATGCCAACTTTGATCCCGCAAGAAGTACAGAAATTTGATGTATGGGCATTTTGTATCTGCTGCATTAGAAGCACTTGTTGGTGATGCGTTTCAAAGGGAGCTAGTGCTGAGTTTATAAGTGTGTTTTACAGCTAAAAGAAAATGTTTTTTGTAGTGGGATTATTAAATATACAATGTATCACTGCACACCAAATAGAATTGTCTAAATACATAATAACTATCACTGCAAGTGCGAGCATGTCAAATTATGGCCTTGGAGGGAAATGATCTCCAATTTTGCTTTAATATTTATTAGAAATGCGACTGTTCATCTGAATCAGGTGTCGGAGTTGTATCCATAATAAAACACTTAAGATTAATGTGGACACAATCTACAAGCAGCTAAAGCCAACAGACATTCAAGGCAGCCAGAATGTATTATCCCGCTGAGATAGTTTGCATTGTTAAATCCTTGGAGCAGTGCTTGATGTTTCTTAAACTATGGCTTACCTTACTTCTCTGGCTCCGGAAAATAAATGTTTTTTTTAACCACTATATAAATACTCCTCTGGATTATGACCGCACTTTAGAATTGGCTACCTCTTACATTGTGCTGTTCAGATGCAGCAAGTTTGCGTTAGGTGCCTGTAAACAGCATTGCCACCTCATCGACTGCACCCACTTCCATCTAGATTATTTGTCCTCTATATTATAGAGAGCACGAAATGACCAGATGTGTTAAGATGCAGTGCACTCCTCTGCATGCCACATTTCCACTGTATTAATATGCTGCTCTCCATCGAATGTTCACACCGCCAACTTCTTCAAAGAAATGAGCTGAAATGACCTCTGCATTGAACTGTGACTTGTAGAATTTAATGCCACTTTTGCTATCAGAGCTCTTGGGTACTGATTTCAATGTAATTAAAGTTCAGGATTTGATTTTGAAAGAAAATGTCCAATCGAGGTGTAATCACACCTGGCACTGCCTGTTGGTTTGGGACCTTGTATTGCTGCTTGGTTTGCCATCTGAAAGGAGTACCCTTGTCAAATTTGGTTAAAATTTACCAAAGTGCTTTTTACAGTTATTCAGGCAACAAATTAGTGTTCAAGGACAGAGTCTTTGTGGGACTTGCCAGGAGCACGGATAGATCCAGGACTGATTTGTGTGTTCGCTTAATTAGGTATTTAATAAATTTGCTCATTGCTTCTCTGAAATAGCCACTCTCACCTACTCTCGAGCCTTCTTGTCTCTATTCTTCCTCCAACCTACATTTTCTTTGTGTTTGCATCAACTTTAGAATCTCTTGCTCTGTCATTTTATTTCCCAAGACTTCAAGACTGGGAAACTTCTTACCTCCTCTCAGTCTTCCTCCTAAAATAAATGGGCTTTAAAACTAAAACGTGGTGATACTTAATCATTTATTTGCTATTTATCTTTTTCCTCTCCTTTTCAATCTTCGTTACTAAATGTACATGGTCAGTGCACGTTCATGGATTTAATAATAAGTAACAATTCTTACATTTGATATTGCACCTTTCATTCCAAGAGGACATCTCAAAGCGCTTCACAGGATGCACCTCCAATAATGTGGCACACCTCCAGGACTGTCAGCCTAGTTTGTGAGCTCAAATTTCCCACACACAGAATTATATTTGTATAGTGCCTTTCACGTCAGGAGGACGTCCCAAGGCGCTGATGGGGTTGAACAAGCAATCTCCGAGGTGAGAGTGCTACTAACTGAGCCAGGCTGACACTAAGTTTTAAGCAACAGAGTGTGATTTGTCAGTTGCCCCTAATGAACCTCTTGACAGCCCAGCCTACGATCAATGACTATTTAAACCAAATGTGCAAAATTGCAAGGTACACTGAAATGCTTAAGTGGTGGAGCGATTCAAAGACATAAAAATCAATGGCTTTGAGAAATGATTCATCATAGATGTTACAGTTCCAAAATGTTCAGCTTATCATCTTCCAGTCCTAATGGTTTTTTTTTAAAAAGCAATCATCATAGACTAATTTTTCTCACAAACTGATTTTTTTTGTGTGGGTAAGATTGGAATTCTGTGTAACTAATCACTTCCGTCACTCATGTTCAGTCGTTGTTCCAGCAATAAGGGTCGCTATGATAGATATCTTGCTCAGTGAAGAATGTGACAGTGTGAAAACCTGCAGTGCAGCTTTTTGCTCTTACTTTTGCATTAAACACCATTGCACTGGATATTACTTTAGAATATCCTCCACAAAACGAAAAACAGTGCGTTAAACCTAATCTTCTCAAATTCAGCTGTTATGTCTAACAAAGGTGCCTGCTGTATCTGAAATGTTAATTCTGCAGCATTCGCGACTTTGCTTTGACCTGAGGGCTATTGCAGCTCATTACAGGTTGCTTGGCATTGTGTTATTTCGCTGCCTCCATCTTTGGAAGGGTTTCTAACTGACTGTTAAATGCAGTGAAAGCATCTTTGTAACACCCTCAGAAGTATTTTTTAACACAGTCTGTCAAAAGTCACGGAGCAGTCATGGTAAATTTAGCAAAACTCACGGACTTAGAAAGAAATATTGTGTAAAGTCTGGCATAGGTGTTGGAAACCAGGTGAGAGGATGATTGATAGGGTGAGATGCCCAAAAGTGAAATATGTATGATAGAAGGCAATGAGTTAAATACATGTTAATTCCTGACTGTATGATTAGCAGCACTAGTTAAGTATATAACTAGTGATGGGAAGTGAGTATTTAAATTTCTAATTGAAAGATCAAAGTGCATCCAGGCCTGAAATGAAAATTGCTTAGATCTGTTCAAATATGAAATTGAAATGACGATCATTGATACCTTATTCAGGCACGCTTCCAACAGTGGTCGAAAGTGCTACTCCATCCTTGGCTTGGCTGAGTGTTAGTTTATCTTTTAATCCTTTTCATTAGTAGATTCTCTTGTAGAGCAGCCTTGGCTAGTCATCTGTCATTTGTCTGGAGCACAGGCAAAAGCACTGGTATTGTTTCATTAAAAAAAATACGATCAATTTAATGCTCAAGTACCAATTGAAAGTAATCAAATATAACACTACAAATTCCCTGTCGAAGACGCTTCACTGAGTAACAATAACTTGACTCTGTTGCTTCAATACTTTATTCATCTGAGTTTTTTTTATATAGCTTCCTAATTATTTGAATAAAATTCATGAAGCATTGAGTTTCAAAAACAACACAGTTAATGTATTCAGTTTCAAGTCTGCACTATTATTCATGCTAGATGCAAGCAGCAAAGAATTGTCAATAATAAATTGTCTTGAGACCATAAGCAGCACAACTTCCTTCACATAATCCAAGAGATTAAACTCTGCCCAGATGCCTGGACCTTTCATCCAGTAAAGCGATCCGTGAGATGCAGATCCAAGCATTCCACCCAATTGTGTAGAATTTGCAAAGATTGTGCTTGAATTGCCTCTTTTTTAAAAAAAAGTCAATTTCTTTTGCTTGATATTGGGTTACAAATGTAATTTGGTAACCCAGTGTTTTCATTATGGATGTTCAAACAGTATCAGTCAATTTATGCATTGTGGTTCTATGCCAACATAAGTCTAGTGTCTCCTTTGGGGTGCATTAAACTACTGTTACAGTGATTCATTCCAAGGGCAAGATCATAGCTAAAATATAAAAGACTTATGAATCCTCCAAAGCAATATTATGTCACTAACTTGGTGCAGAGTTTTTAACTCTGCAAAATGTATTATTAGGGTTTATCTACATACTTAACCTCGATAAGATCATTCAAATTCTTCTCTTCTCAACACAACGTTACTAGAAGATTTAAGAACAAACATTAAGCAGGGCATCATAAGAGGTGAGGAAAACAAACCTGATAAGAGGGAAGAAACTGTTCAGGTTCACTATAAAGGACCCTCCTTGTATGTGGTAAAATGAACTGTGTAAGCTTGAGTACCAGAAGAGTAAACTTTAAAAGGTGTATGAAAAATTCAAAGAATGCAGGCTGATTTTTAAAAAAAAACTTTTGAGTTAAACCTTGCCTTTTGCAGACTATTGTCTCCGCCGACAATATCTAATTGTAGGTTTTGAGAGAATTCTGGGCCCTGTATTGCAGTCTAGCCCTGTATTGATGAGTATCCAACATTCTTACCATTCCGTGCTCCTTCACTTGGACGAAACTTGGCCCTATTTGTTTACTTAAAAACTGGAGTGGGGTGATGCATTGGCTGAGGCCATGGAAAGGAAGCTGTGGAGTGAGTGCTGTGCCTTTTCTTGAAAAACCCTCCTCATCTATGTAACCCTTGTTGCCACAGGTTACATAGAAGCAGCTGTAATCCCTGCAGGAGCAAGGCGAATCCGGGTGGTGGAGGACAAGCCAGCCCACAGCTTTTTGGGTAATAATACTGATTTACTGTCGTTTGGTGGTTTGCTTGGCATGCGGGTTGTTTTTCTTCTGTCGTGCCTGCCCAAGAAACAGAACAGACGTCCTGTATCCTGTTATATAATGAATTACACATTTCTGTTTATTAATCTGATTATTAGCATGCGATAAAGTAAAATCATTGTATTTGCTCATTAGATTGAACCAAGTTTCAGACACAGTAGGACATCCTATCTAAACTCACTTGACCTCTCAGCCAGCCTGAAATTTCACTTACTCTTTACCCTATGAGATCATTTTGTCTTTAAAATTGAAGTCTACGCAGAATTGTGAAAATATTTTGAATTCTGCCTTCATTTGGCAGGCAGATTTCCGCAGTCCTTGAAAGAAAAGAAAAATCCAAATTAAGCCTGAGTTTAAGAACTTTGGTCAGTTTTGTGTGATAACAATCTTATTTGTTAAGATTAGGTGGAATTTCTGTGCAATACTTGAACGCATAGGAGTTTAACTTTCAGTATTGGTTAATGAGTATCCTTGGGAATAATGCTGGTGATGCATAGAAGTGTTGAATCACTGCTAAGATCAATACTAACAGAGAATGAACCACTGTATACAGCCCCAATGAATCCAGTAGTGAGGTACTCCATTTCATGAACATGATGTGTCGTTTTGTTTCACAAATGTCTTCAAATCTCTGCTTCTAGTTTAGCATTAATATTTTTTATAGTCAGAAATACTTTTAGCAGTATTAAATTTGCTACCCTCACAAATGCAGTATAAAATATCAGATTACGTACAGCAGTTCTTTTCAGACGTTTTTGGTGGTTTATGCCATTACCTTAAAGTACCAGTAAGGATACTATTCCTTAAAAACAAAACACAAAATACTGCATGGGATTGTTTTATTGCAATCCCCACCTTTGGTTTGCATCATTAACACCTCTTTAACCCATCATCCCCTGTCCTTCACCCTATTTTCTCCTTTGTCTTCCTTGCCCTGCCTACCACCTCTCTGTTAGCCTTTAAAAGCCTCTCCCTCCCAACATACTCCAGTTCTGACAAAGGTTTGTGGACCCGAAACGTTGACTCGCTTTCCTTTCTCCATAGATGCTGCCTGACCTGCTGAATGTTCCCAGCAACTTCTGTTTTTGTTTGTGATACTATTCCTTGATTATTTTGAAACTGTGAAGGCAAAACATCATGTAATAGAATATACCATGAAACCAGCACTTTATATCTTCCTAAAATAGTCCAAATGTCCAGCAGTCAAAATCCTCTCAGTCTAGTTAGAAATTTGTCGGCAAGGACTGATTTTTGCAGTTGATTGTTGCCAATCCATTTTATTGAGACAATTTCTAACCTAACAAATAATGGAATTGTGCAGTGTAACAATGTCTGTTTGCATTACAAGTTTGTAATATATTATGTAGTTTGTATGTCTGTAATGAGGGAACCATATATATAAGGACTTGAACCTGCACCTCCTTCAAGATGACTAACAGCTACCAAAATGCTCAGGGAGCTAAGGTTATGCAAAGTCTGGTGGGGCTGTGATCTTGGTTGAAGTGGATGTATTTTAATTATTTTATTCATTGTTTAAAACGATTTAGGTATTTTAGAATATTTCATTAATATTTGTGGTTAGATATTCAAGGTGACCTAGGGGGACATATTAGCTATCAATGGCATTTGGTGCAATCCCAAAACACACAGCCAATGGTCTCCCGATATTTGTAATCCATTTGACATGTACTAGATGCAAGACCTCATTGCATTCCTTTTTTTGTATGTGTTGCAGTCAAACAGGTGAAGGGTAATTGTATTTTCTCATTACCTGAATTGCAGTCACACACCTAGGACTAGCTACATAAATATGCTGTGCACACACTTCATCCACTAAAATGCTTCTCAGCCACTGAGACTCTTAATAACTGTCTTAATGGGTCTGTGCTAGAGGAAGCTTGTGGTTTGGAAGGATTGTACTTAAAGAAATGGAAGTGAATAATTTACCAGGCGAGTTCATATAAAAATCTGAACATAAGATTTTAATTTCCAGCAACTTGCCAAAAGCTTATCCATTTGAGGTCGCTATCCATTTGGTAGATTTGTGATGAAATTGACCCATGGCGAATGTGACTGATGCTCACACAAGGAGGCAGGCCCATTCAATGTTTCACATGGTCTCCTCCTGTTCTGCTGGACAGGCAATATACCTCAACTCTGAATGCCTAGATGTATTGAGGTTCAGTTTGAGGGAGTCCACAAATGTGTGTGCTTTTGCAGAACCTTCAATATCTGATGACTTGATTCTGTTCAACTGTATTAAATTACCAACCAGCCAGCATTGCTGTGAAGTCAGTCTCTGGAAGCTGGACAATTCCCCCCACTCCTCCTCCCCATTTCTGTTGCAAAGTGCCAGAGTTTGACATGTGACAGCCCGTTGAGATTGAGACTTGTTCGTGCAAGAAAGCATGGCTACAGCTTCCATCCCTTCACTCTGTCGCTTGCGACCAACTCTTATCTGCATTTCATTGTAGGATCTAGTTAGGAAAAACAGGAATGAAAATAAATAGTTTTTCTTTCAATCGGCATCTTTGGCATTCAGCTGAAAAGTGTACAGGTATTTACGCAAATCAGAGTGCACATTGTAGATTTTTATGAACTCAATTCCACCCCCACCTTTCCCCACCCACCCAGCCAGCCAGTCCGAATAGCTAGTTTGAAAAGCTAGTTTGGGCTGATTCTCACCACAGATGTCGCAGTTCAGTCTTTCTTCAGCAGCTGCAAATTTAATTTCCTATCAATTCATTTGAAAGTATCACTTTATTTCCCAAAGCAGCTATCTGGCTGTGTGTGTGTGTGCGTGTGGAGGAAGCTGTATCTGTGTCCTCCCACCCACTTATTATTGAAGTAACTTGGTGAACAGTGTAATTAGCCAACGTGTCAGGTTCTAAGAAAAGTTGTGTAACTCTGTCTGGAGCAGTAGCCAATTGGCATTGGAACAGTGCAACCAGATGACGGTCTAGGGCAAAATATGGGCTGTATTCCTGCTTCACTTTTCATCAATTTTGGTTGTGGTTCTTGCTTGCAACAAAAAAAGTTCCAAGTACTGGCCTGGCAATCGTCCACACACCCAGACTTCAAGACGTTTGAAACCCAATGAAAGCTTCCTCAGAAGAAAATAAACATTTGAAAAGCAGCTGTTAAATATTTCTCTAAGTCTGCGGGTTCCTCTCAGAATGAGAGAGAAAAATGTTTGTCCGTAATGTTTTAAAATGACTCTTGTTTGATGTTTGTATTCCACTAGCTTTAAAGGATTCTACAAAGCAATCCATCAACAGCGACTGGAAGATCGAGCTACCAGGGGAGTTTCAGATCGCAGGCACTATTGTCCGCTATGTGCGAAGGGGACTGTGGGAAAAGATGTCTGCCAAGGGACCAACCAAAACACCACTTCACTTAATGGTAACTTTTTGATCTTATTGAAATCAGTGGTTAGAGTACTTGCCTCACAAGTGAGAGACCCAGGTTTGATTCCCAGCAGGATGAAATGTTGGGCAAGTTTCCTTACTCCACACTCCTCTGTTTACCTAGCAGTAAGTAGGAATCCGGTTGCTAGTCGATCGGTGGATCACTTTTCCGGGAGTAATAATTTCTTCAACAAAAAAATTTAAAAATGGTCACTTCAATCCACGATTATTTGTGGGACACTTTTGTGCGTAATTGGCTGTCCATGTTTCGCCCACAAAATATTCAGTTCACCTTGTAGTATATTCTGTGAAGCGCTTTGAAACGTTTCGAAGACTTATTAAGGCGCAGTATATAAAAAGCAAGGATTATTATATTATCAAGCTATTTCTTCAATAACAACAATGGCCTGGCTTCTACCACTGTTTACAAGAATACCTTGTTAATGTGTTATTAACAGACCGCAGACATCCTGGAGGTGGAAAACAATAACTAGTTAAACTGTTAAACTCTTCAGAGACATATTGGGCATCTATTAATGTGTGACTGGCTGGTCATGCAGTAAACCATTTAGACACAGCCACTTTAACAGGCAGTTGTGTATCGAGCGAAGACTTTCATCACTATAAAGTGAACAGTTTTAATTTTAAGAAACCTGCTGAAGCAATAAAAGTTAAAGCATTACATTCAGTATCATGCTCTTCCTAATTGGTTACAAATGGCCTAAACCATGTACGCTCTTGGAATAGCATTACAAGGCAGATGTTAAAAGTAAGTTAAGTAAATACTTGTTATTTAAATGATGTATTCAGGTTACAGATGAAAAGCTGTCTTCTCAATAATCTTCAGTAGCTTCAATGTAGCCATAACAGAATGTATTTTTATTAAGTCAATTCAACAATTAGACACGACAGGAAAATTGCTCCAAATTGGTTTTGCACGGACCTGGGTATGTGGGGCTCATTTTGTTGGTTAATATGTTAGCACTGAGGTAGGTAATTCAAAGTTCTTTTACAATTCCAGCAGGCATAATCCACATCAGTTATGTTTTATCCCTATGAATTACAGACTGGCAGCTCTGTCAGTGGATCTCATGCTTGTACAAGGTAGGTCATGCTAGCCTGGCATTGAGTTTTAAAGGTCGTTTCTCTTTGTTAATGAGATTAGACCTCAGATGCACTGGTATCCTTCCCAGCAATTACAGCTGTGACAAGAGTAATTTGAGATGCTGAGAGATCAGCTATATCCTGACCAGGTGATCATTATTTGTGTCTGAGCCTTGACAAGTGAGTGTTGGTAGACATTTCGACCATAGGAGGGAGATGACAACTGATCCTGACTTCACTCAACATCCAAGCAATGTCCGCCTTCTAGCAGGAGAGTGTGTGTCAGTGATAATGAGCAGAAACACTGGCTGATTTTCCCCTCATCTTTAAACCAAAGGCACTGAAGTCAATTGAAATACCCTGGCTGAATACTTCAGCAATTCAGCACAGATTGAGATTCAAATTTGCAACCTTTCTGGTCATGAGAGTACTTTCTAGATCCAAGCAATAAGTACTTTTAACTTCAAAATGGTTGCATTCAGTGGTCCTGAGGCACTTTTCAACGGTGCCTGTATCTGCAAATATATCTATTTGTTGTTGGATTCAGTACTCGCATTTCCATGTATGAGGTTGAGTATCTGATGCCACAATTGTTCTGCTCATCTCCATCTCCGCTAACAAGCCACAGATATCATCCTCACAGAATTTCATTGCATTCCATTCAATAGGTGCTACTGTTTCACGATCAAAGTTATGGAATCCACTATGAATACACAATCTCTGTGAATAGTTCCTTGGAAAACAAGAGCGAGGTGGAAAAGCAACTGGAGCCCCTTTACTTGTGGACAAATACTGGCTGGGAGGCCTGCAGTGTACAATGCGGAGGAGGTACAGTTTGTGTGTTGGATTTCTGCCATTAAAATAGTTTGAAAGTGCTTTGAGATGTCCATCCAACTTGAAAGGTGCTATGTAAATGTAATTGTATTGTAATTTAAAATAGGTAGCTAAGCACCGTTATCTCAGACACCAGTGCATTGCCAGTTTGGCTTGATGGAGAAAGTGGAGTCATTTTATTTGCTGAAGTTGAGATCGTGTTTCCTGGCCCATAAAAGGTTGGAAAAGTTCAACCCACAGAGCCTGTTCTTGGTGCCCCATTTTTGTTTATTCCCAACATTGATGTTACATGGCACATTTAATGAGCAAATGATAAATTGCAGTTAGCGCTGCGATTTCTCTTTTTTGATTGACGCGAGGATCAGGTTAACATCAGAATCTAATCATCTCAGTATCTCGGCAAATTTGTGCAGAAAATCTTTGGTTGAATTAAACCATTCTGTGAGTACACTGATACCATTGAGGAATGCATTTACTCCTGCAGTGCCAGACGCAATAATGATAAAATATTAAAGGTGTGCATAAAGAGAAGACAGTTACATATGTTAGTGAGCAAGACCCTCCTTGATCTAAGGATCAAACAGCAATAGAATGATTTTTTTTAATATCGTAGGATTAAATTCAATGTCAACAAAGTGGCATTCTGGATATTTTCAGTAGAGTAGTTTGTTTTTAGAATTGAAAATTCCAGTATATTACATATTTGGGACCTTTTTTTCTAGCAGAATGTAATTATCTCAAGTTAACTCTAAAACAGAATATTTTGGCATCAGACGCATGGTGACTCATGCAAAGTTTAGCCAGTGTGAACTCACAAATCTGGGAACATTTCCCATTCTGCATGAATGCCTGGTGTCCATCCTCCCCTATTTAGCAATCGGCCCTCATAGTTGTGTGTTCAACATTCCCCTACCACAGCTTCCCTAAGTAAAGCTGTGTATAAATCAGTGTAATGAAAGTGCCACATGAAGGATACTACCAGTTGTACGAGTTCCTCGTTTTGTTTTCTGCAACGCGTGTTGTATGCACTGAAACGCCTTCACGTAAGCATCACGCCCAGAATTTCTTTTTAGACATGTCCTCCTCCAACAGGAGTCCTGTAGCTCAGCGGTTAGAGTACTTGCCTCACAAGCGAGAGATGTGGGTTCGATTTCCGGGAGGGTAAAACCTTGGGCAAGCTTCCTTACTCCACATCCTAATCCTTCAAAAAAAAACAATAATAAAATCAGTCACTTCAATCCGTGACTGTTTGTGGAACACTGCTGTGCGTAATTGGCTATTGTGTTTCGCCCACAAATATACAGTCAATTCACTATATGGTCTATTCTGTGAAGCGCTTTGAGACATCTAGAAGATGTGAAAAAGCGCAATATCAAATGTAAGGATTTTTTTAAATTAAATTTTGATACCATTTACATTTCAATGAAGTTCACGAAGTTGGCTAAGAAAGAGTTTATGAGCCAGTCTACTTCAGTTCAATAACTGTTTTGTATTAGAAGCAATGTCACAGTGGCATTGTTTGCTGTGCTGCATAAATGCCGGATCTTGTCCAGGGATAGAAATATATTTTTCGAACAATGATTCCCCCTGCCTGAGGCTGCGTCAGGAAAATTGAAAGAGTGAAATCAATCCAGTCGCAACTCGAACACTATGTTTTGGAAGCTGTGAAGTCTGGTTCAGTGGTTTGTGTTTTAGTCTCCTCTCAGGAGATGTGTTCCCTTCATTAGGAATGTATTTCAGGTCTGAAATGCCCCGGGGATAATTTCTGCCTCTTAATACCATGTTCCTTGTTTTTAGGACAACGCAGAACTGTTGTCTCCTGCACTAAAATTGTAAACAAGACATTGGCAGTGGTGAATGACAGTGACTGCCAACACATGACCCGTCCTGAGCCACAGGTCAGGAAGTGCAATATGCATCCATGCCAGTCACGGTAAGAATCTCTTTGATCTGAAGAGAGATCTGTTTGCTGATCTGTAATCACTGTGTACAGGAATTCCACCAGCTACTGAACAGAGGCCTGGCTGGATGATTGAAAAACTCAGCTTCGTAATAGAGCAGGAACTGCTAGCAAGTGATGATAGATCATGTTAAGCATTAAAAATTTGAAATCCCAGTTGACTCAGATAAATGTTGGAATGATCATTCTCTGAATGGAGATATTAATATTCTTTTCTTTTACATTTTTTCTACAGTTGTTTCGTCTCTCTAGCTGATTCATCCCTCTTTCATTTATTATTGAGCCTTGATCATTTGATTTGGACTGAACTTGTGCGTAAAATTTCCCAAGATCACAAGGAAAGATCAGAGAGGAAGGCCCTGTGGCCCACTTGATCCCATCCTTCCAGAATATTGACCATACAATATGCATTAAATTATTTCTTAAATTAGTCCAATGCCCTGGCCTCTACCATCCATTCTTAATGAACCATTCCAGCTGTTGATTTACACTGAAGTGCAAAAAAAAATTATCCTGCTGTCTATGCTAAAATTGGCCTTCACAACCCTGAACCTGTGGCATCAAGGCTTGCTGCCTTGGTGTACTTGAAAGTATTGTTCTGGGTTTATGTCTATTTAGTATCATATTTATCCTGTTTTTTGGTGAAACCTGAATAGTGTGTTGCTGCCACAGAAGCATCAAAGTGTTTTTTCACCTGCAAATGATTAATGCTTTCTTTTCCTCATTGAGATTCTTGTCGCTTTTATAAGCTGGTTGACTGGCTGCAAGATTAAGAATTTCAGATCGACATATGGCCTATGTAAATGAAAATAAGATTTATTTTCTGTTTGATGTCCACTGATTAATGTTGTACTCTTTCTGGGTGATTAACACAGACTGATTCTCAAGATGCTTAGGATAAAGAAGTAACAAGATGTGAAACTAAATCATTACTAAGTTCAGGCACCCTGAAATTATATTGTGGATTTCTCAGGACAGTTTCCATCACATAAATATTTTTGTTCAATTACTTCATGAATAAAGCAGCCAACCTTTGGGAAGATGGTATTATTCCATATTAACTGGAATCACATTCAGTCCATTGCCAATATCACCGCCTTCTACCATGAAACGTTGCTTACTTATCCTCTTACCTCACATCCACTGTTACTAGCACCCATACTTTTCCAATCTCCTCCGCGCTGGCCTCCCCATCTTCACTCTTAAGACGCTTCAGCTTATCGAGATCTTTACAGCCTAGTTCATCCCACATACCACTAAATCCCATTCTGGCCAAGTTGGATTGGCTCCCAGTACCTCAAAGGAATATGTTTAAGATACTTGACCTGGGCTTAAAATCCTTCCACAGTTTCATGCAAACTTCTCTAGCACCAGATTTCTTGTTACATTCTATCTATTGATTCTTAAGTCAGCATGCCCTGTCCTTTGGAACTCTTCTTCAGAACCACATCATTTGCTACCTCCTTCCTTGTGTTCAACAACCTCCAAAAATATCGACTGTGCCTTTGGACAACGTCTTTCAATCCTTTATTTCCCTGCCTCTTTGTCCACGGCTCTATTTGTCGAGACATTCATTTATGGGATTGCAAAGAATGCCGCGAATGCAACTCAATGTGGAAAGCCACTGTTTAACAGATGTTAGATTAGCATTAGAAGGGAAAATTGGCAAAAGATGAGGTTTCGTTTGCTGCAGGCTTCATCAGCCCTGGTTGGCCCTGAGATTTGTAACAAGCCTCTAGACCATAAATTGAAGCAGTCTTTACGCTCATTTGTACTTGAGGAATTGAAGTGCTGATTTTGTATTTCTTACTGAGTCGTAGACCTTTTATAGCAGGGAAATGATCTAACTTGTTGTTATATAAGCTTCATGAAACAATAAAATGTTACACAAAGCTTTTTCTTCTTTACTTTGAACTGAATCATTAGCTCATATACTGCCAGGAACTGATTTGAAATTGTGCTGGGTTTTGCTCTGCAATTTAATGAGAACCTGGTTGTGTATAATGGTGGGGTTGGCAGCATTTCTCTATTGCATCTGTGAACTGTATTGTGTACAGCTGTCAAACACTTGGCTTTCAATACCTCTTCTAACTGTTTAATTTCCCCCTCTTATAATTTAACATGGGTAGAATGCTCTAACTTTGCAAAAGGTCCTGGGCTCCACGATATGAATGAAATGGTGCTTGACACTATTGGCCAGAATTTTCTTCTCTTGCCTTTCCAACTAAATCAGACCCACTATGCATTTGGATGAATCACCCAAACCCTTTGTTCTTCACAAAAGAACAAGCAAGAAGGTCATTAACGCTTATTAATGACAAAACGTAGTACAAATGCCAAAGCCCCTTCCTTTATCTTCGGTCGGAATGTGAAGCAGAAGGGTTCCATAGTGTTCTCAGCTGCATGAATCGCTTTGAAACGAGGCGCCCTCCCAAATATGAAAGGTGCCAAGTAAATGTAATTGTATTCTGAATTTATCATTCTCAGGAGGGTTGTGATACTTATGGAATGGGTTTGTTTTGGCAGGTGGGTAGCAGGAAGTTGGACTCCATGCTCCAGCACCTGCGGGAAGGGATCTCAGATCCGCAATGTGACCTGTGTCTATCAGCTGCAAAATGGCACACATGTCAACACAAGAAATCTCTACTGTCTCGGTCGCAAGCCATCTACAATACAAGGCTGCGAAGGTCGTGACTGTTTGACTGTGTGGGAAGCCTCAAACTGGTCTAAGGTACATTTCTTCAACTGCAAAACGTCTGTCTAAATTTAGAGGCTGGGTAATTGATATTGAATTCTTCAGGAATTTCTAAAATCAAACTCTACATGGATGGATCTAGTGGTGTATTTTAGCATGTCCTCATACACATTAAATCTCACCTAAATGAATCAGTCAGCTTGTTCCTTCCTGAAGGTGCAGAGCATGCTGTGACTGACAATCAAGTTGATCTGCAGGATTGGGCATCGGAGCTACAAGGAGAGATTGCAGCAAGTGGGCATTTTTGCACTGGAGAAAATATTAATGATGCTTTTTTCCCCCCAGATTACAAAAGATTTTTTTTTTAAAAATGCTAATGTATTTGAAATCAGTAAGAGTGGCTCACAGTTTCAAACTAAGAAGGGGAAAGGTGCAGGGGTAGCTTACATTTAACTATGCTATGTTGGGGAGGGTGGGTTACAAGGTGAACAGATACCCAAGGAGGTGAGATTGTAGGTAGGATAGATGTGACTAATGGCATTTCAGAAAATGGGACCTTAATGGCCTTTTATAGGCTCCTGCTTCCTATGCTTTTTTATTTGTTATAGCGCTGCTCGGATGTTATTCAGCAGACTCCTGAGAGAGTTTTGACGAAAAGTCATAGACCTGAAACGTTAACCCATTTTCCTCGCTCCATGGATGCTGCCTGACCTGCTGCACGTCCCCAGCGACTTCTGTGTTTATACCAGATTTCCAGTGTCTTTGGCTTTTGTTTCCTGAGAGAGTCTGTCTGGAGTGTGCATTCTCTGCACATAGGAAAAATGTCATGGCGAATTTCATGAATTAATTTCTTCTCAGCGATGGTGATACATTTTTCTTTAGGAAGAATTCACAACTTTTTTCTTTAGTACTTGAAGTTGTGTCAAATGAAAGGAGTTTGCAAGTACAGTAAATGGAAAGTGGCACAATAAGTCAAACATTTTGAATCTAAGGGAAATTGACTGCCAGGACTTTGCTCTATATTTCTGCACCTCCGATATAAACTCAAACCTTTCAGTCCAGCATTTTCACTGGCCTCCACTCAGGCTGTCCTGGAACCAACAGAGGCATTAATACATTTAATCTATGATGAAAAAGAACAACTTTGTCAGTTTTTATTAGTTTCTGGGACCAAGGAGACATTAGCCAGAAACGTTTTGAAGATATTATTGCCAGCCCAAATATTGTTTTCATTTCTTACATCAGTATTCTAGAGGTGTAAAAAGGTACATGTGGCATTGTGCTTACGTTAAAACTTTTACAAGTATTGAGCTTAATGGACCTGGCAGAAAAATCAATAACAGTTACCATTCTGTCCATGCCTACACAGAATGACCAACTTTGAGTTTTTAAATGGCCCCTTTAAACTCGAATGTCATTTTACTCCCATTACAAGGAATGATTTACTAAGAGCCTGTAATCATTTGGAGAACTGTATATCATGCTTGGCACTTTCATTTACACTGGAAGGACGAAAAAAATTACTTAAGCTTTCTCGGAGAAGAAATGAAACCCAGCTACTAATCTCTTTGGCGGGCAGTGAGTGAGTGTGCACAGATCCTGTTTTCTGTGCATCAAATTTATGAGGAGAAAAAACCTATGACACCTGGGGGGATGTATCTGACTGTAGCTGAAGGTGAAAGAAGATAATCAGCTTACAGCTCTGATGGTAAATCACCTATTTTTTCCCATATTCTTGTCCCTTCCACTCTAGCATCAACGGCCATGCTTTCAGCCATTACATCCCAAAACTTAAGAAATCTCTGCTTCAATCTCTCCACCTTGCCTCCTCCTTGTCCGTCTTCAAATTACGCCTTTAGAGCTTCCTCTTCGAATGTGTCTACTGTCACCTCCCCACTCTCCCTGCTCAGTGTCAGACTCCGCCTCTGTTAAGTTCTTAGAGGTGCTACCCAGTGTAAAAAAAGCGTTATATAAATGTATGTTGTTGTTGTGAGTTACAGGCGGCTTGACAAAGATATAAATTCCCCTGGACAATGGATGCAAAATATTCACACAAAAAATAACTAGGGTCTGATATGTAGCAATTTCTAATTTTTTAAAAAAAGAAAGGAATCAGGAAATGCATCAAACTGACCCACAGGAACTTTCTCCCACACGATATACTTATGGACGTGAGTTCCCAAACGTTGGCATAACGACAACAAACAACAACTTGCACATAGAGCGCAGGATAGCGTCTCAGAGCGCATAACGTGCGAGAAGTACATCAGGTTACCAGAGGGAGTCCCATTCAGTTCTTTACTATGAAAGCTAATTAGAAATCAATGCAAAGTGGATCCCATTAAATCGCAAATAGCCTTTTTTTTAGGAGCTTTAATGTTTTGAGCATTTAAACTGAGTTATAAGGATGATTTCTTCAACAAGACCTCGGTGTCGTTATTCAGAAAACAAAACTGCGATAGGGAACAGCTTCTGACAATCCTAGCTTAGTTCACTCTGTAACATTATCTGGGTAATACTTCTCTGTTGAAAGCAGCAGAAAAGGAATGTGCTTGGGCTGTAAAACTCTGTACAAAATGTTGAAGGCAACAGGGTTAAACTGGACAGTAATGGATGAGGCAATAAAATTGTACCACATTTGGGACTTAGTACTGTGCTTTCCTACCGTCTGCTGCCAGCAATAGAACCCAAGGAAATAAAATGTGTGCAGAGTATAATACTGGCATCGCCTTGCTGCATTCCAAGAAGGGAGAGAACTCCCCACAGTTACCCCCCACCAACCACACACACACACACACCACAGATACAAACATACACCCCACACAGACACAAAGTAAAATATCCACCCATGCCACAGGGAGAGAGACTTCCACACACAATCCCCATCCACAGAGAGGGAGAGAAAGTCACTTCCTATTTAACTTGTCAGGTCCTCTTAATTAATTTAAACGCCTCAATCGGATCACCCCTTAACTTCTTTGGCTCTGGGGAATATAACCTAAATTGACGCAGCCTCTGTTTCTCGACAAATTGCTGTATTTGTATGGTATAGCACTGGTACTTCAGTCAGCTCCATGTTCCTCCAGGGTCAGCCAAGGTCAGGCAGCAATGACTGACAGGATGCGTGTGTTGTGTTTGTCCTTGTTCCACACATTGTCAGAAAGCACAGCTGGTGCTACAGTGGGCCTGCGAGCTGTAGCTCCTGAATCAGTGTGGGTCCAAGATGGAACATTATACTTTATCAGCCAGTATTATACTTTAAGACAAAGATGTACTCTACTTCTATGGCAACATAACCACAAAGAATGACTTCTTTGAGCATCAATTGATATGTACAGACTGGTCATTCTTCCTACATTAGTAATCTCTCATTTGTCAAGACATGGAACATCCAGTATAAAATACAGTTCATACGGAATATACTATCCCCTTAAATAAATTGTATTTGTTTCACTTTTGAAGGTATTTGAGCTATTATTAGACAAATGTGGCGCTTTAATACATCCCCTTCCCCAGTGGTAGTGCTTTATAATGCCATGACACTGTTAACATTTCTTCAGTGAAGCTTAATCTCATCAGTCCTGTTAAGAACCGACACTTTATTTGAACTGGTCAGTCTTCATTATACTTTTCTGAATTCAACCAGTAATGACAGAGAAACCAAACTTTTCAACAGCTCCATGAAATCAAAGCGATTGATTCAGCGTGAGTTGAAGGCAATCTGTAAAAAATGCATGTTTTTTTATTGCCATTAAATGTTTAACCCTTTCAGCGATTTCTAAGTGAAAATCAATCACTTAAGATTAAAATGTCAACATTGTTTACTGCTGAGCAAATGGAGTAAACAAAATATCTATCAAGGGCAGTGACAGCACATTTAGAGTTTGTCCAAGGGAGAAAGTCAGTTAAGTTGCACCACGCAGAGGGTAAAGATACTGAATTCAGCAATACTTTTAAGGGATAGGTTTTTCCTCAACATAATTTCAAAAACCTACTCCGCGAGCAATATTCTGAAATGTACCAAACTGGAGCAACATTACAAAGAGACACCTGGGTTATGGCAAGATCTGTCTGTTAATTTGGATAGATGAGGAAAGTGGAGGGACATGCTTCCAAAGCAAATGCAACAGAGAGGGCATCATTTGCATCAATAAACCTGATTTAAATATCAGTAGGAGTCATTTACAGGAGGCAAGTGCTTTATGCACTAAAATGTAAAGATCTGAAAATAAGGGAGAAATTTTGCTGTGATGTGACAGTTATTACCAGCAATATTTACATTACACACTGCAAAATTTCTCCTCTGGCATTGAGAATTGAACCCCAAAGTAACTGACCAATTTCTGTAGTGCTCAACAGACTGTGGTAGAGGCATCCGTCAACGAACAGTGACATGCACCAATCCTCAAGGGAAATGCGATCTAGCAATGAGACCCAGGGAGGAAGAGGAGTGTGAAGATTACACAAACTGTTATGAATGGAGAACAGGCGAATGGTCCAAGGTATGTATATAACTCCATTACTACCTTCAGATAATTACAGTCAATCCACTTTGCAATACATTCTGTGAAGCACTTTTGAGACTTCTCCACGACGTGATAAGGCCCTATATCAAATGCAAAGATTATTATTATAACTTACCACTTGACTTTTGTTTTGTCATGGCTTTGGCTTGTTTACAGCCATTTTTATTAATTGTTGTCATTAATGTAACTTGAAATTCATTTTCAAAGCTTGATGCAAGCACTCAAATCATGTCATAATTGATGCAGCTTCATCCTTTGATTTGTTTTCTTTCTCTTGCTCCCCTTGAAAGACTAAACAAAGAATAGAGCAGAGTTTCTCAGTTAAATAAACTCACCACCTCAGTACGCTGAATGAAACGCGGTCACTGTTGCCAAGTGATGTAAACGGAGATGGTCCTGATGTTTTGGATTCTTCAGACCATGTGTTGCTGACGTAACTGCCACCTGTCTAGCCGGACAGCAGCACACGCCAGATACTACAGCAGCCACAACCATTTCCTTTCAAGTCGGTGGCCTCAAGGTTGACTAACTCTATGTGGCTACTTTCCCATGATGTAGCCTCGCTTTTACTGCCAAGTCTTAAAGCTATTTGCTCCTTGCTCTAAAGTTTCAATTTACTGAATTCAACAAATGCCTTACACTGAACCTTAAATCCTTTACTTGTAGAGACTCATACTTCAGTTTGAATACAGTAAAAGAACAGGATTTGGGGGTGAGGGGTTGGGGGAGAAAGAAAGAACCTCCAATTTTTATAGCACCTCATCATTTTGAAAAGTCTCAAAGGACTTCACAGTAATTATGATTTTGGTAGGCAAAAGCAGCACTTTGCAAGGTGGCACAAACATCAATCTGGTGAATGACTTACTTATCTGGAAGACTGTGCCTATAAACTGCATTAACCAAATGTGCTTTCGCTAATATCACTTGGACATTTGTAATACAGTATAAGCTTCTCAGTGGGGACATGTTATGTCAACCAGTTCTTTCATCTTCTCCAGTTCTGTTTAAGGCAACTGGCTAGAATGGATTACAAATGAATCAGTACCTGAGCAAATGTTTCCATTCCCTTTTAATGTGCTACTTGCTAAGCAACTCATGTCATGTTAAAACTATCCGTGTTACCTGGCTCTCCCACCGCTTTGACTTCTGCTGTAGTATAGCAGCAGGAGCATAGAACAGGAAATGATTGTGAATCCAGCCTCAATACACTTCTCTTTGGAAATGAAAATGTTTATCTGAGCTTAAAATAATGGTACAAAACCAATATGTAGAATACCAGAGGCTCAACCGTGTTTGTACAGAAAGTAATTGAGCTTTTAATGCGTGTACAGAATTTCTGATCATCAGCAGTGCATCTGGTATTTACAGTTCATCAGAATTTCCCTTAGTTGAGAAAACTAGAACTCATTTGTTAGAAAACTCAATTGTAGTCCACTGGGACACGATCAGGGAAGAGTAGAGGTATGAAGCAAGCATCTTGTTGTGACACTGCTTTTAGTGCTAAATGGTCTTTGTTCCTATTTTATCCTATTTCAACTGTGACATGTGGAATGCACCTGGGGCTCTGAAGTGACAGGCCAAGCAAAGTGGCTTCACTCTCTCCAGTATATACTTAGAATTAATGTACCAGAGAGATGAGCTTCAGTGACTGAATGACCTTATCTTATCCTTTGTACTTTCCCCAGCCAATCTGTGATAAAGAGAGCTTGTTCAACAGTGGTGCAATTGGTGTCATGAAGTTTTTCAATTTGCTTTGAATTACAGTGGGGTTTGTTTTTTATTAAACATCTGCCGGTTTATTTTAGTCTCTTTCCCCATCTTAGATCCCTGCACCATTTCCTGTCTGAGAAAGTAGCCAAATCATCTCCCTTAGGCCTCTAACTATATTGGAGTTAAGACGGTCTCCAAGATATGCATTAAGAGTAATCTGAGACTTTGCCTTCCTGTGTGGGGGACTACTTCACCTCCTCTCACCACCTTCTCCGAGAACACAGCAGAGACTAGGACTAACTGTTTGGGAATGAAGGATGCAAAGCCACTTCCAGCCACCCTTTAGTAGAGTAAGATGGCTTGCCCATCCACTTGCCACTTGTATTTATCCAACATTAAAAATAATCGAATTAGAAGACTAGTTAATTGTATTTAGTTTAAGATCTGATGAGGGCTGTACACTCTGACAGTTTTTAACAGAATCTTTCTTATCGCACACAGTAATGGTTACTTTAGTTATAGAAAACCAATTTCATTCCTCAGAAATAGCACATGTGGCCTGTCCAGATGCTTTTTTTTAAAAAAAAACGTAGTTAACTAAAACAGCAAAACTCTTTGTGGGTAAGAAATCCTTTGGTTCTGAACCATCAAGCCAATATAATGCAGACTAACTGACCTGAAGCATAAGCAGTGTTGGTTGGTAGCATTTCAATGGCATCTTGCATTGTAAAACCAAGCTGTAAATGATAAAATATTTTTTCTCGCCAAGTATATAGTTCTCTTCTCCCTCCTGCATCTCAGCATTCTCAATCCAGCAGGCAGACAGTTAACCTACTGCAAGATATTAGATAGTGCTCACTATGGGGGGAAAAAAAAGCTGCTGCGATGTAAATGAGATCTTGTGGTTTGGTGATTCATAACTGAGTAACTTGATCTTCCACTGTTTCCCACCTACTCAGGATAGATCAGAAATTCAGTGTATGGAGATCCATGGGCATCAACCCACATCTCTCACTCTACACCAGACTAGACTGGTACATCAACATGCTTTGCTACCAGACCACACTGCTACAACCGTGAATGTTGGCAGTGAAGGATGTTCTAATAGGACGTTGGGTACCAAATTATTAGGTCTGCTGATTGCTCTAAAACTTTCTGATAGTAGTGAGATATAGTTGCATTTTCAAAATACTTTTAACTACTTTTTTGTTTCTCATTCCAAGGCTGCTATTTATTAGCTGGCATTGAGTTTTATTCTGCACTGCTGCTGATGTTTCCATTCTATAATCCAGAATTTTTAACCTAAGACTACGAAACTGGGAACGTTCACACTGCTGGCTTTGGTACACTGAAGATTCCCAGAATTCATTGAGTCATCCATCTTATTGGTGTTGGAGAGGGAACTTATGATATTTCCCAGGCTAATACATAAAGATGGAATGGCACAGCCTCAAAAGCCTTCCGCTCACTGACTGCTCATCAAGACAACTGGATTCTTCCATTTCTCGATCAGTATGGGAACCTGCAATGCCAGGAGGGAGGAGTATGGGCAAAAGATAAAGGGAGAGAAATTCCACTTAGGTTTAGATTTTCTTTACTTTCTTAGGATTTTAGAGCCTTCAGGATTTTGTGAATTCTGAAATACAGCTGTAATTTGCAACTCAATTTTGCGTAATTTCTTTTTCAGAAACGACAAAAAAACCAGCTTTGAAGTTAAATCTGAATTCAACAATATTGACAAATTCTTCATCCTCTAAAATTATAAGTAAAGGGTAAATATAGACCCAGACGAAATTTCTCTCCCCCCAACCAAATTTATTTATTTTTCTGGGAACACAAAATAACCATAAACCTCTGGGAGAGACGTGCAGTGGAGCTTGTTGAATGAGGGAAGACATTGTAAGGGGCTGAGGGTAAAATGATGGTGTGAGAAAGTCCACTTCAAATGGAGATCAACAGCTGCACTAGAGGACAGATGTACATGGGAGTAAGTGTAAGAAACTGGTCAGGAGAGTTACCATAGAAAATGAGTATAAGATTATGGGAATATGGAACACAATGTAGGGGGCTTTTAAAATTGTATTCACAAATAAAAGTCAGGAAAATACGTTGGACCTCTGATCTTTAATGTCCACTTAAATAGGCCTACAGAACTCAGTTTGACATCTCATCTGCAGGACGGCACCTCCAACATTGCAGCTACCCCCCAAGGCTGCATTGGAGTGGTCGCCTAGACTTACAAGAGTAAGAGTTGAGAAAGAAAAAGATATTAGATATAACATCTAATATATAATATCTAATATGTATTATATAATATGTATGTTATATATAATATATATATTGTATATATTATATATAGACTTTTACAAACCTTTTGACATCATGCCACCCAGGAAATTGATCCACAATATCAAAACACGCAGAATAGACAGGAAGAATCTAACTTCAATTGCTGAATAAGAGGATGAGAAGAGGGTTTGTATATGGAATAAGTAGGGAGAAATTCCCAGCTGTTTCTAGGTTTATTCTATTTACATAACATTTCAGAGCATCCAGAATTTGGCAACTTGTTCAATTCTTGTCTTAAATTTCAAGATTTTTTGTGTAGTTCTCAAAAGAGAAGTACAGAAAACTGGCTTTAAAAAATAGGTCTGTGTTTAAGAATTTGCTAAATTCCCTTTGCTCTAAAACGCTATATAAATAGAGCCAGTTGGGATTTCTCCCCAAAGATGTCAGGTCTGCTTCCTGAGGACTTGGTCTCTTTTTGTTTATTTCACACAGGTGATTTGGAAGTCAGGGCAGATACAAAGCTAGCTAGATTTATTGATCATTCCCAAACTGAAGGCTGAGGTAAACAATGGGAAATAATTGGAGCTGGATAGATTTTATGTTAATAATAATTCTAATAATGGGGAATAATTGGACCTGGATAGATTTGGTGTTTGGGCTGATGATATTTAAATATGGATAATGTAAAGAGTTTGTAGAGAGGTTTATTATATTACTATTTATAAACTAGATTATTAGAACGCATTCAGCTGACCTCATCTTATCGCAAACAAAAAAAGGCCCTATTTTTAATGGTAAGAGCTTTGGCCTTTAGCTGTGGAGGACAGGATGATTGCTTATTGACTGCAGGCACTTTTCAGTGTATTTTATTGCGGACAAATTACTTCTTGTATGAACAAGGATGAAAGGTCTAACTGAGGGTTATTAGATGCCAGATTGTTGAGTCTTTAATCACAAGTAAAGCGATTCATGATTGC